ACCAAAAAGAAAAAAAAAAAGTAAGGTTATTATTCATAGCATTAAATAATAGGTATGTAGTATTCCATAACAATAGTGCATGGTGCATAAATACTTAACAAATTTTAGCTTTAATCACTAACAACTGGACCAGGTGGCACATGCACCTGTAGTGTAATCCCAGCTACTTGGGAAGCTAAGGCAAGAGGATCACAAGTTTGAAGACAGCCTGAGCAACATCTTCCACCTCCAAAAAAAGAGAAATGACTACCAATTTATAGTTGCCGTCTCATTATTTTGCACTTGGCCTTTCTCCTCCCATTAGCCTTAAGCTTTTTAACAGCAGATCATGCTTTCTCAACTCTGAATCTCTGTATCTCCCAAAGTATCTAATATATGCTTGGTTACTGTTTATGGAGTTCTGCTGAGTCCACAGGCAGTGCAGGTCCAGAAGTCCCCAAGGAACCTTCCTGACCATGCTCCTCATCCTCCCCTTCCTTGGGGGTGGTGCCTTTGGTCCCTGGTTCTTAATGATATCATCCCTCTCCAAGGCCCCAAAGGAAGGTGTTGGGTCAGGGTATACAACTCTGGAGTCCAGTGGACAATATACTCTGCCTGGAAAGTTCCTCGGATAGTTATCCAGAATGCCTAGACACATGATGGTGAACCTTTCAGAGCCTTCAATGATACAGACAACCCGCTGCGGCACTCATGCCATTGTGTATGTGTGTGTCCTAGTACTGGGGATTGAACCCAAGGATTTTGTGCTGAGCTACATCCTCAGCCCTTGAGGTAGTGTTTTGCTAAGTCACCAAATTGCCCAGGCTGGGCTCAAACTTGGAATCCTCCTGCCTCAGCCTTCCAGAGTGCTGGGATTATAGGTATGCTTCACCACACCCAGATCCTGTTTTTGATTGCGTTCTTTAAAGCAGGCCTCTGAGCCATGTCTCTTACTCTTTGCTAAATAAGTGAAATTGGTTTTTAGTGCAGTGCTATCCTCAGGCAGCAGTAGGTGGAAAGGGTAGGAAATGGTACCTGCAGATCTTGGTTGTGCAGGCTTCTTCTTACTGCAGTATAATAGGACTTGGGTTTAAGGTGTTGAAAATGAAGATGACACAAAGGCTGAAGACCCCGCTGCCTGGTGTTTGCCTGTTGTGCTGTAAGGATGACTGTCTCTGCTCTGGCTGGGCCTTCTCACAAGTGTGTCTCCAAGTGTAGAGGGCAAATGACGATGTCAGGAAACTGTCACATTGCAGCTGAGTCCCCTCCTGCTCTGCCTTAGGGCAGATGTCTTTTTGAAAGACTTTAATGTGTTACATAAATACTCCATGTTATTAATTCCTAGATTATTTCATGCCTATACAACTATTTTATTTCAAACCAACTTTCCAAGGATTGATCTTTCACATATCTATTATGTTTATGATAATTTTCTAGAGTCAACAAGAAGATGAATATAAATTTTATATCTTAAATGTTTCCTGGTAAGCCACTGCAAGATAAACTCACTGCCTTTTTGGGTAAACTGGTCAGTCAGGAGTTACAGAGAAAGCAGATAGGCATAATATCTAAATTTTAGCAAGGCATCTGATAAATTCTATCCTGATGGGGTTTTTTGTTCTGTTTCGTTTTTTGTTTCTTGTCCTACTGAAGATTGAACCCACAGCCTTTGCTCTGAGCTACATCCCCAGCCCTTTTTTATTTTTTATTTTTAGACAGGGTATCACTAAGTTTCCCAGACCAGGCTGGAACTTGTAATCCTCCTGCCTCAGTGTCCCAAAATGCTGGGATTACAGGCATGTGCCACCACACCTGTCTATCCTGATGTTCTTGAAGATGAAACTATGGACAGAATGGTGCAGTTAGAGGATTCATAGCTGGAGAATGTCTAGGAGCAAAGAAGCGTGGTTAATGAATCACTGAGAGCAATGAATGTGACAGGGACAGGCAGGGAGCTGCTGGGACACTCTGTCCTCCACCTGGCCCAGTGCACATTGTTAATAATTATATGATTGCTACATTGAAGTTTACCCAACTTCTATTGGATGACGAATGTGTCCTATGGAGATCTGAGTCCCAGAAGGTACCCTGACTCCTCTTCTGAGTCAGCTGTCCCCCATTGCTGCCAACTGTATCACCTCAGTGCTTCTTAAGCCTTTCTTCTGCCTATCCAGTCTTAGTCTGCTGTTAGAAGACCATAAACCAGGAAATTATCAGCAATCTAAGTTTATTCAGCTTACAGTTGTGAAGACTGGAAATCTGAGACCAAGGGGCCATGTCTGATTAGGATTTGTGTGTCACAGCCTCAAGGGAGGGCAAGGGACATGCACAAGGTAGAGGGGAGTAGGCAGGAGTGGGTCAGACTCATAATAAACCCACTCTCACAATAGCTGACCTCATCAGCAGTAACAGCATTAATCCATTTTGGAGCTCAGAGCCCTCATGGCCTAATCATCTCTTAAAATCTAACCTTTTGGGGACGTGGGAGGCTAGGGATTAAACCCAGGGCTTCATGCATGCTCTCCAAGGGCTCTTCTCCTGAGCTACATCTCTAGCCCTATTCCATTTTAATTTTTTCATTTTGAGGTATTTTTCTAAGTTGCTACCCAGGCTGGCCTTGAACTCACAATCCTCCAGGCTCTGCCTCCCAAGTAGCTGGGACTACAGGCAGCATCACTGCATCCAGCCCACCTCTTAATACTGTTATAATGGCAATTAAATTTCAACATGAGGTTCCGAGGAGACATTCAAACCATGGCACCTTCTTTAGGCCCTCGCCATTTCTCTCCTGGACTGCAACAGTGCTGTAATCTTTTAAACAGTCTCCTTGCTCTGACTTTGCCCCCCTCACTGGCATTCCCTCAACTGCCAAAGAGTGTCCGTGTTCCTGCACGTGGATGGCCTGGGAGGATCCCTGCATTTCAGCCATACTTCTCCTCCAGCCTGTCTCCTGCTCCTGCTCACCTCATGTTGTATGCTCTCTGATGATACCAGATACCTGCAGGTCCCCCATGGTCCATTCTGTTCTGTGCCTTTGAACTTTTGCAGAGCCAGCTCCTCTGCCTTTGATGATCCCAGCACATTCATACCTGTCTTCCCCAATGAGACTCAGCCTATCATTGGAGCGATTCACTATATTGAAATTGTTCACACAGTACTTGCCTCAGATGAGACCATAAATTCCTTGAGGGTAGTAATCCCAGTTGATTTAGCACCTGTCGTGGGGATTGAACCCAGGACATTTTAACTGAGCTACATCCCCAGTCCTTTTTTGTATTTTTTTGTTTTGAGACAGGATCTCATTAAGTTGTTAACTTTGCCCGGCTGTATCCGAACTTTAGGTCCTCATACCATAGCCTCCCAGAGTGCTGGTATTACAGGCGTGCGCCACCATGCTCAGTGGCAATATGTTTTTTTATCAGAACTAAGGATACAAAAAGATCTCACCAACTAAAAAGGCAGACCATAAAACTTAACGGAGAGATAGTTTAACAAGGATATACTTGGGTTTAAAACCCGCGAAGAAAACAAGTCTCAACCTAAGTACTGAGTACAAGACAGAAGACTCATGACTCATCCCTTCCCTAGAATGTGTAAAAAAGCAGGGCTCTGGTTCCAGCTGACTTCATGCTGTGTGTGAGTCAACAGTGTGACTCATCACCTCTCGTCCAGAGTGGGAAAAGTCCTGCTGGCCTGACCATACAGGAATCACAGTCTGTTCTATGGGCCATACTTTAACCCAGTTTCTGGGTAGAAAAAAAGGGCAGCTCACTGCCCGCTTTCATTTAATTTTACATAAACCTGCTTTTTGAGGCTGAAACAAATCTCATTGATTTTTCAGTGTGAAAATAAAATATAAAAACTGTTCCTACGGGGCCAGGGATTTAGCTCAATGGTTCCGCCGCCTGCCTTGCAAGTGCAAGGTCCCGAGTTCAATCCCCAGTACCAAAAAAACAAAAACTGTTCCTAGAAAGCTGGGTATGGCTGTACTCACCTATAATCCCAACACTCAGGAGGCTGAGGCAGGAGGATTCCCAAGAGTTCAAGACTAACCTGGGCTACATAGTGAATTCAGTGCTAGCTTGAACTACATAGGAAGACTCTATTCCCTCCCCCCCAAAAAAACCCTCTTTCTGAAGTTATTTCTAAACAGAAATCGGGGGCTGGGGCTTTAGCTCAGTGGTTCTGCTCCCTGCCTCTAAACAGAACTTGTCTCTAATCCTAATGTAACATAAATATATATGATGCTTGGTATTTAATAATTTTTTTCATGTGGTAAATTGCAAAGCATGGAATAATGATAGAGAATTACTATATATTATAAATGGAAGTACCACTACTAAAAACAAAGTACTATAAATATAATGGTATCTTTTGTTTCTGAAGACTATTGATATACTAGAGCCATGCAAAAATAATAATAAAAGTGAGGCATTTTGTGGAAAACTTTGGGGGTAAGGTTAGGGCTGGAATCTGTACATCATGGTGAGGTAAACGCCGCAGCTTCAAGTGCTATCTGCAAGTACTGTATTCTCAAGGCAAATGGGAAGCAAAAATGAGGGTGTCCAAAAGATTGCACCTGTACTAGTGAGAGAAGCTGAACCCTGTTGCCTGGGGGAGGGAGTAGGGATGGTGCACCTGGAGAAGCCAGTGAGTGCAGTCAGTATAATCAGAGGCCTATGGACCTGTCACTGGGAGCCTCAGAATGCAGAACTAGGCCAGTGAGTGGAAACTCCAAAAAGAATTTGGACAATTAGACCTCCTAATTGAATAAGCTGCCTTGTGAGCTCCAGGTTAGTGTGCTGTAAAGGAATTTGAGCCCCAAAGGAAGCTTGGGCTTCTCTTCTGGTCACATTTGAGGTTGGTGATTCAGGAAGTCATGAGTCCACATTTTCTGATGGTAATACCTTCATCCCTCTGGTTGTGGGGTGAATTATCGACACAGAAATTGTTTCTAGGCCTGGAAAACCCCAGTGTGCTAGTCGCTTATTATGCTTGCCTTTTGTTTTTTTGCTTTCTAGTTCTGGAGAGACTTGGCTTCTGGGAGGAAGTCAGAGGGATTGTCTCAGGATCAGAGCTGATAACAGGACTCCCCTGTACCTTTAAGGTGCCAGGCCTGCCCCAGTACCTCCAGAGCCTCACCAAACTAGCCATCGCTGCAGTGTGGGCAGTGCTAGCCAGAGCCAGAGAACAGACAAGGGCTGTGCCCATCACCTTCTCACAGCTGCTGGCCTCTTCCTTTCCTGAAGTGCGTTTGCTCACCCTAGAAGCCCTGTTGGAAAGGTTCTCAGCAGGAGCCTCTCAATTGGGAGAGGAGGGACTCTCATCTTCACTGTACAGTATGGGAGAAGACTTCCTGCTCTTGGCCATGAAGGAAAGCCACCCAGAGTGTCTCTGCAAGGTAAAGTCTGCTGGCCTGATGGTCCACTTCTACTCCCAACATCAGGAAGGCAAGATGAGGTTTGGGCTCTCTGAGGGCAACAGACTTAGCATCTGAAGTATAGACACTCTTTGTGTGGTTCTTGGGCTGGCTTCATGCATAGAAGGCCAAGGACACTAAGAAGAACTGTTGATGATGGTGGCATTGATAACAGAGATGAACCAAATTCAGAACTAGCCGTTCTTGGGATGTTTAAGTACATCATTGAACATCAGCCACAGAGTGTATCAGAAGTCATCTTTGCTAACATGCCTGTTTGGGGGCCAATGGTCACCTGGGAAGTGTAGTGAAAAGGAAAGGGCACTGGCCTAGGAATCTGGGCATGTAGCACCAATCAAAGGTCATCAGGCTCCCTCAAGTTGGTCATTAAACTGTGCCCTGTTTGAGACATTATGGGGAAATAAGTCGGTGGGAGCCTTTTAAAAGATAGAGCCCCTCGTCACTGCAAGTGGTTGTTATTTACCACCTGGAGACTTCTCCCTGAGTATTCATATATATGCTCTATCTCTGTTTCTGTCTCTCTTTCGCCCTCACCCCTTTCTCTCCTGCCCTGGATTTGTCTCACACAGATACTGAGGATTCTCCATTGCATGGACCCCAGTGAATGGCTTCCCCTCACGGACCGCTGTATCCATCTAACCCCCAAGGAGTTTTTGATCTGGACCATGGATATTGCTTCCAATGACAGGTTTGCCCCAATGCTCCCTGTGCAGCATAGGTGGGATGTAGGTCTCATCAGTCATTGTGCAGTGAACCTGCTCACCATCCTGGCCAAGGAGCTCAGGTCCTGTATTTCTTTCAACGCCTCAGCCTAGGAGCTAGGTATGTTGTAAACTCAAGCAATAGAATAATATCAGACCTTCACATTAGTAACCAAAAGGTGATTGTTTCTGGAGGCATTTGAGCAGACAGGATGTGGAGATTTCTAGTGTTCCCATCAATATGGATTACAGGCTACCTGCAGAAACCATCTGTGTGTAAAATATGTTTGATTTAATTTTGGGGGGCGGGGGGGTGTCTTACTTACTTTTCTTGTTGCTGAGACAAAATACCCAACACTCAAAGTTATAAGAGGAAAGGTTTATTTCAGCTCACAGTTTGTAGAGTTTTCAGTCTGTAGTCCTCTGGCTCCATGGCAGGGTGACATAGCAGAGGGGCATCTCAGAGGAGAAACAGTTCATGGCAGGCAGAAGGCAGAAAAAGCAGCAAGCAGCTAGCAATAACTGCAGCCCTCTTTCTTCCCTTATGTTCTATCCAGGCTACACAGCCTTAGGGCAGGTAGCACTCACACCCAGGCTGGGGCTTCTCATTATCCACATCCAGAACTATCCAAACCAGTCAGTGGACTAACTTAGTAATCACACACCCTTGATCTTAGCATCACACACTCTAGATCGAGCCACCTCTGAAAAGCCCCACCTGTGATCTCAGGAGGCTTTGGGGGATATGTAAGCGCAAGCCATAACTTGTGGGGTCATGGGGGGGCGGTTATCCCTTTCTTTTTCCAGATCTGAAATCCAGGGCGTGGCTCTGAGACTTACCTCCAAAGTGATTGCCTACCACATGAAAACACTTGAAAAGGTAAGGCTGATTCTGTGCCTGTCCTGAGGCCTGGGCTTTGTGCTCTATTTACCCAGAAGGTGTCAATAAAAGTCACTTATTAGTTGAGTGAGGTGGTACATGCCTATAATTTCAGCTACTTGGGAGGCTGAGGCAGGAGGATCACAAGTTCAAGATCAGCTTGGGAAATTTAAAGTTTAAAAAGAAGGTAGGGGTAGGGATAGGGATGTAGCTCAATGGTAGGGAACCCTTGGGTTTGATCCCCAGTGCCACAAAAACAAAAAAATTCAGGGCCGGGGATTTAGCTCAGTGGCAGCACGCCTGCCTCACAAGCATAAGGTCCTAAGTTTGATCCCCGGTAACAAAAAAGCCAACTATCCTAAGCCAACAGAATCACTGTGACCTGTGTGCCTGGCCTGTATAAGAATATCATTATATCATTTAGGCATGGTGGCCTATGCCTGTAAATCCCAACACTTGGGAGGCTAAGGCAGAAAGATCACCACAAGCTCAAAGCCACCCTGGGCTACACAGTGAGTTCGAGGCCAGTCTGAACTACATAGTGAGATCCTATCTCAAAAAAACAAAACAAAACAAAAAAGGAAGAGCATTCATGTTGACTTTCCACTGTAGGCATAACTTGGGAAGACTTTTGGGAGCACCCCTCTGTTTTCTCATTTTGTGCATTTTTGGTCAGAGTCCATGAGGGTAACATGACCTCTCCTTAACACACAAAGCCATTGTTCTTTCCCCATTTTTGTAGCGAGACTCTATTTAAAGAGGAATAAGCATGTCAGTTCCAGGAATATTCAGAATTATAACCTAGCAAACTGAGTATGAAAATAAATAGCACAGGCTTAAATATTCCCCCAGTGTGTGACCCAGCTGGCTCCTAATGGAGTCCCAGGTGTGCCCACCTATTCCCCGTATCCTTTGAGGGTAAAGTGGACCTAAAGTAAGCAAATCAGCTTCCTGAGAAGATACTATAAGACAAATACAGGTACTCTGAGATGCATACAAGAAAGATATGCTACCATTACAGAATAGTAAGTAGGAAATGGCCAATACTGCAATAAAATTACACGTTCAAGTTTTTTTATTTTTGTTTCTGTTTTGTTTTGTTTGTTCATTGATTCGTTGTGGTACAGAGGATTTGCAAGTAGCTGGGATCACAGACATACACACTATGTTGGGCTATATTGAAAGATACTGATTGATTATGCATTCCACACTGTGAAAGTGCTAACATAATGTGGGGGATTTGGAGCTCTTAAATTATCCTAGCTCTGGGGCTGGGGATTTAGCTCAGTGGTTTTGCCGCCTGCTGCGCAAGCACAAGGACCCAAGTTTGATCCCCAGTACAAAAAAATATATATATATGGTGAATGTTTCTTCTTTGGGCTGGGGATTTAGCTCAGTGGCACCATGCCTGCCTCACAAGCACAAGGTCCTGAGTTCGATCCCTGGTACCGGAAAAAAAAAATTATCCTAGCTCTGAGGTAGTTAACCAAAGATGAACGGAGATCAGAGATACAGTCTAAGGAAAGACAGAGACCATCAGATCATTACATTAAATTCTCTAGTGAGGCTCTGGGAGATGTGGAGGAAGTGTCTCAGAGCTGAGGAAAACTTCTTTGTGGTACTGGGGATTGAACCCAGGACCTTCACACTGAGCTACATCCCCATCCTTTTTTTATATTTTGAGACAGGGTCTTGCTAAATCACTGAGTTGCTCAGGCTGGGCTTGAATTGGTAACGCTCTTGCTTCAGTGAGACTTTAGTGAGACCATGTCTCAAAAATAAAAAATTTTTGGCCAGGCATGTTACCCTGTAACTTTAGCACTCAGGAGGCTGAGGGAGGAGGATTGCCCTGCATTCAAGGCCAGACTGGATTACATAGGGAGACCCTGTCTCAAAAAAACAAAAACAAAACATTTTAAAAAATAGAAACTTTAAAAAGAACTAGCAATGTAGCTCAGTGCAAAGGCCCTGGGTTCAATCCCTGGCACCAAAAAAAAACCAAAAAAAAGTGCTTGAATGAAGTGTTATTTAATGAAAATTGGAGTTTTCTAGGGAGAGAAAAACTGACAAAACTATAGAGAAACACATGAAAGAAGTTCCTAGGGAAACTTGGATTTCCTTGGGAGTTAGCATCTTTCCCAGGGTCTGTGGTGCTTATCAGGTGAGTAGTCCATAGGTGACCAGAGGAATCAGGAGGCACATTCTGAAGAGGCTCACTAAGTGGAGGAAATGTCTTGGTTTGTTGTCTTCTGCTGCCATAATAGAATACCAAAGACTGAGCAGTTGAATAAAAAAGAAATGTATTTCTCATGGTTCTAGAGGCTTGTGAAGACCAAAAGCACACACCAGTGTCGATGAGGTCCTTCTTGCTGCCTTGGGGCATCACACGGCAAGCGAGCATGTGAAAAGGAAAGAGAGAGACAGAATGAGACAGACCTGGACGGAGAGAGAGCTGGCTTTGATTACAGAGCCGCTCCCACCATAACTGACTGACTCTGGAGATAATGGCACTTATCCATCCAAGTCATGAGCACTCCACCCTCATGACCTAATCACCTCTCAGAGGTTTCATCTCCCATATAATATTGTCACAGCAGCAATTAAATTATAACATGACTCTGTGAGAGAACAAATGATAACCGGACATAAAGTACTTCTGAAACAAAAAAATCCCCTTTCTAGAAAAAGGGGGAGGGGAATATAGAAGTTGGAAACAATCCAAATGTCAGTCAATTTAGAGTGAAAAATTATTTAGCCATAAAATGTTATGTGGTACTGACTCATCCTTACAGCATGGATGAACCTTGAAAACCTTAATCTAAGTTAAAGAAGCCAGTGACAAAAGAGCACATGTCATATGATCCCATTTATTTTAGATGTCCAGACGAGGCAATCCATAGGAATAGAAAGGAGACTAGTGGTTATTTAGGGCTGAGGGAATGGGAAAATGGAGGAGTGATAGCTAAGTGGGTCTAGGGTTTCTCTTTGTGGTGATGAAAATGTTCCAAAATTGTCTGTTGGAAGAGATGTAGGTAACGTTTACTGATTTGAACACTACTCAATATGTACTTATATTAAAACATCACATGTGATGTGCCCCATAAACATCCACAGTTTTCATGTATCCATTAAAAATGGTTTTAAATGTTTTTTAAAAAGCAAGTTAGGCTTGGGGATATAGCTCAGAGGTAGAGAACTTGCCTAGCATGTGCAAGGCCCTGGGTTTGATTCATAGCACTGCAAGGAAAAGAAAGTAAATTATTTCCAAAATCATGTGAATAAAAATCATCTAAAACAAAGCAAGCTTGGGCCAGGGATTTAGCTCAGTGGTTCTGCTGCCTGCCTCACAAGCGCAAGGACCTGAGTTTGATCCCCAGTACCAAAAAATAAATAAAACAAAGCAAGCTTAAAAAATAAATAAAAAGCAGAGTATAAAATAATAATAATAAATTTGTGATGACAGTTGCATAGACCAAAATCCAGTTACTTTTCCACTTTAAGTGGGTGAATTGTGTGGTATGTGAATTACCATTTCAATAAAACTCTTACTCTTAAAAAGAAAATGGGTATGTTTCAACCTGTTAGGATGCTGCTTTTAAATATGAAAACAAATTCATGCATTTCGTGGCTTGAACCAGATAGATGGAAGCTGTCCAACACAGACACAGCGGTTTGGCAGTGCTGGCCCAGGGCCTTCTCCTCTGTGGTTCTGCAGTCCTCAACATGTGGCCTCCACCTTGTGATCCCAGGGTTAGCTCCAGCACCCACCATCAGTTTGCCCTGTTCAGCAAGCAAGAGAGGGAAACCCAGGAGGCAGAGATCTCGGCCATTTCCTAAGGCACATCCCAGTGACAACCCAGGCGAATACATTCACATGTTGCTTCCCCATGTGAGGGAGGCTGGGAAATGTAGTCCTTAGCTGGGTGCCCACAGACCCAGTGAAAAACCTGGGTTTCTATTACTCAAGATACCAAGAATTTCTGGTTATTGTGGACAAGTTATTTGTAGTCTTCCCCACAGTCTAGTCTTCACTGAAGCTGTCAAATACAAAGTGTGATCATAATATATGGTGAATGTTTACATTTTAAAAACTTATTATGGTCCATCTCAGAATACTTCTCCTTTTATCCCATCATTCTTGCCACTTTCTGAAGCAGTTTTTGAAGTCTGCTTTTGGGAATGTCCTTACTAGGTGTGATCAAAAGTACAATGAATGCTGCTGTCAAGTGCCGTCCAGCTGAAAGGCAGGCTTACAAAAACACTAGTGAGTCTTCTTCCACCTTATTCATCAGACCTGGCACTGAGTAACTTCTGGCTCTTCCCCAGAGTCAAAATGACAATGAAAGGTGAATGTTTTGAACGGCTTTGGGACAGTGAGACAGCCATGACAGTGCAACTAAAGAAACTCAAGAAAGTGAACTTCTAGAACTGCTTCAGAAAGTTACAAGAACAATGGGATAAGTCTGTTCAAAGCAAAGGGGGGTATTTTGAAGGGGATTAATAGCAATGTGTCTTTTATTATAATAAATTTTTTTAAATATTCACCATATTTTTCAATTGTTCCCATACACCAGTGTTGTGATCACCTGATATGCACAGAAAAGACTCAAGGAGCCTACTCTTTAGTGACTCTGTACTTCCAAAAGGCAAATCAGATATTCCTCATGGGCCTTGTTTATTTCACCTAGTTGGGATAGAAAAGTAACTAAAAACCTTCTTCCCGCCAAGGTAGAGCTGATTTGCAGGCATAGTTTGGTGTACCTCCTCCCTCCCCTGTGTCGGCCCCTGGTTGCATCTCAGGTCTGTTGATAGGTACCTCTGTGCTTTCAGAACAGAGACTTGCTAGCTCCCCTGCTGAAGCAGTGGGTGCAGTTGGTCATCTTGTCCTGCGGAGACCATCTTCCCACAGAGTCTAGGCTGGCTGCTGCTGAGGTCCTCACCAGCGTCACACCACTGGTCCTCACCAACCCCTATCCAGTTCTTGGTAAGTGTGCTGAGGGTAGAGCCCATTGTACCAAACTCGCTAACAGCATAAACAGATACTCTAGACCAGTGGTGGCAAACCTACGGCCCGCATGCCACAGCAGGATGTTTGTTATGATTGAAAGCTCTAAAAAGTTTGCCATCATTGCTCTAGACTAAATGAGAAGAGAAGAGAAGGTGACAGCTGGTAGCGTGCCCCATGCCTTTACACCTTTCTCATAGAGTCTTGCCTTTGTTCAGACCCTTATTTTTCACCAGCAGTCTGTTAGTTTCTTTCAGTCTTACCCAAATAGCCTCTGTAGTCTTTCTGAAATGTATATGTCATCATTTTAGGTCATGCTAAAAATATTGGAAGAGGTTCCCTTTGCCTTGGGGATGGAATCCAAACACCCTTTCACTCTGCTCACGACCCTTTCTGGTTCCTCGTGGCCACCCCTGTTCATCATCCACCACTCCCAGCACAGGCCTATTGTGTCATCAGTAGGGAACAGTTCTCTGTAAACAAACCATTGCTTCACTAACTTTTATTTGTCTTATAAGACTCAGCCCATCCATCCCCTCTTCCAGGAAGCTTGTTGCATTAATCTAAGTGAGAAATAAATGGGTCAGTGTGAAGCTGTGGCAATGAGGAAGAAGGGAAGACAGGCTCAAAGACACTAGGGAAGTGGCAGTCAGGACCTAACCCTGCCCTCTCTCACCATGTTAACCCCATATTGTGGTGCACTGGTTCTCTCCCCATCTGTCAGCAGACTTCTGGTTTTTTCTTTAGCATTCCATTCCTCAAAAATAAGACATGATCGCCTCCAAAGAACATTCAATAGAGTTATGGAGAAAGATTTCTATAATAAAAGACAGGATTTTTTTTATATGGTGAGATCCAAATTTTCAGTGTTGGAGGAGTTCAGACTTTTGAAGTGTCTCATCTCCCTGGATCCCTCTGGGAAACATTTTCTTTGATATTCTTTCACTTTTAGTAACTTCCCACCCAAGCAGAAATTGAGAGGGCACTTCCTTGTGATGTGATCTAATATTGGAGCTGGGGGAATAAGAGCAAAGGCTTACAAACTTTGGTCAAGCCAGGTGCAGTGGCACACGCTTATAGTCCCAGCTCCTTGGGAGGCTGAGGCAGGAGGACTAGTTGAACTCAGGTGGTTAAGACCAGCTTGGGAGACATACCAAGACCCAGTCTTACAACAAAACAAAACAAAACAAAAAAATTCTTGGTCAGACTTCTTCAGTAAGGCCATATTGCAACATGTTTTCTGAGCAACTCTGGCCGCTCTAACTTAAGTTTACAACAGGAAAAATGTATGTAGAATAAACTGGAATTCCCATGTAGAAATGAAAAACCATTGATTCATAATTAATTGGTGGTGCTGGCAACAGCTTTATAAAAATGATAAAGGAAGTCAGATGTGGTAGTGAGGCAGGAAGATCATAACCCAGCCTGGGCAATTTAGCAACTTAGTGAGATCCTGTCTCAAAATAAAAAATAAAAGGACTAGGGCTGTAGCTCAGTGCAATCCCCAATACTGTGGGGAAAAATTATAATGAAGGAGATCAGTTGTGGCTGATGGTGCATGAGAATATGAAAAACATACTGAGTGACAGATGACATCAAAGTGCATAGAGACAGGATGAAATGGACAAAAGAGGGGAGGATTTGAGAGGTATAAATGACTGTGTTAAAAAGGAAAATGTTGAGAAAGGAAAGTAGGCAACCTTAGAGAGCAGTTAAAAAGGATGGATTCTCAAAGACTGCATAAAATTTAAAGGCAGATCTGGGACAGAAAGGAAAGGACAAAATGCCAAATGAAGGCTTTACTATTCTTGGCTTGACCAAAGCACAAGTGGCTGATAGCAGAGGAGGAGAGTAGGCGACAAAGATCAAATGGATGAGGTGCCCGGTGCTAATCTGGGTGGTGCCCTGCCACAGCCCTCCACTGAGAGGGAGGCTCTCCTCTCTCTGCGAGCCTGAGCCACCCTGCTGTGTGATAGGGGTGTCCTGTCTGTGAAGCCAGGACACCCCTACACACATGCCGTGACATCCGTCCCAGGTATAGCAGTACCTTATCATCTCCCCCACCCCATTTTTGTTGGTGACTACTAATGGGGTCTGTTCCAGACTCTGCATTCCTGGGGCAGATGCTGCCTTTCTTGTTTGTTACCTGCAGCAGCACTTAGCACAGGACAACTAGCAGAGCCAGTGCCCTTGGATAACTGCAGCAGATAATGGACCCCCATGTACATGTGACACAGGCTGGTGCCTTATACCTGGGCTCTTCCCCTTCTTTGATTTTTCCCCTAAAGCATAACCTTGATTGATATTTGGCTTTCCCAGAAGCTGACACTATCACTCTGCTCCACACTGGGCCAGTTTCTGCAAAGCACAAAGTTTCATGCTTGAGAACCATGACACCAGGAGAGCTGGGCCCAGGACCTTTGTTAGCCAGTGTTCAGAAACAGAGGAATGGCTGAGCTTACCCAGGGCTGCACTGAGTCCTGCAACATGGACTCAAAGCAGGATCTGTACCTCCTTGTCAACCACACTCTGGGTGATTTGAATTCCTTTTGGTCTTAGACTTACAGGACACACTTGCTCTCTGGAGATGTGTCCTCATCCTCCTACAGAGTGAAGAGCAAGCCGTACGAGATGCAGCCACGGAAACCGTGACAACTGCCCTGTCACAGGAAAACACTTGCCAGACAACAGGTACCTGTTTTCATCCTTTGCATTATGTTACTGCTCCAGGACAGGGATCAGTGGACCTTTCTATGAAGAGCCAGATAGTGAATGTTTTAGGTTTTGTTGGCCAGCTCTACCATTTTAGTGGGAAAGCAGCCAAAAACAAAACAGCTGAGCATGGTGGTGCATGACTATAATCCCAGCTACTCAGAGACTGAGGCAGAGGGATCACAAGTTCAAGCCTAGCCTGGGCAACTTAGCAAGACCCTATCTCAAAATAAAAAATCAAAAGGGCTCTAGATGCAGCTCAGTGAGAGAGCACCCCTGGGTTCAAGCCCCAGTACCACAAAACAGCAAACAAAAACAGGTAAACAAATGGGCTAATGTGTTCCAATAAAACTTTATTTATAAGAATAGACGTCTTCCCAGATTTGATCTACTAGCCATAATTTGCTGGCAGACATCCTAGAGAAAAATGGTTTTCAAAAGTAGAAATTTAACAAGCAGTGTTTGATCTTTTGTTGATTACATAGTCATCTGTTTTAAATATGGCTAAGTCTTGATTCTCTGTGTGGTTACATAACCCAAGAATAACAGATGCATCGTTTTGTTCCTGCATGAATGTTTGCCTGTGACAGGATCATGACCATGTACAAGTTTGGTTTCTTGTCTTTGTGGCCTGGCTGTGGGTTTAGTAAGGACATTAAAACCCAAGAATCAGGACAGGTGTAGAAAACAGAGCCAGGGGTTCTGAACTCAGATCCACAATATGAGCTGTCACAGCCCTGGGTTGTGGGGCTGTCTTGTATGCTGCAGAAGGGAACCTGCCTGAGAGTAGAAAATGGGCTGCCAGAGGGAAGGGACAAGAAACAGGTGTAGCACAAGCACAGTCAGCCCTCTGCCCAGTGGCCATCTGGAGAGTGACAGTGTTGGAGGATGCCCCATACCTAAGCTTGAGTGTCCAGAGAGGTGTCCAGGTTGCCCAGGCAGTGAGAAGGAAGAACACCGCTCTGAGGCAGGCTCACAAACTGAGCAAAGAAGTTCCCAACAGACAGCTGGCTGGGAGAGGAAGTAGCCAGCCAGTGTTCGTAACTGACTCAGAGTCCCCATCCCGGTGGTGGGGGTGGGGAAGGATGCTCACTGAGCCAGTGCAAGCGCTGCACTCCTGGAGGGACACTGGGATATGGTACTGTCCTGGTGTCTGAGTCTCCAGCCGTAATGGTCGGTCTGCTTTTAAGAAGCTAGTTTTGCATAATCTGTAAGTGATTCTGCTCTAGGACCAGGTTAGCCTCTTCATGGGAAGACACATGAACAGTGCTACAAGGGATGTACATGCCATTTTGTGCCCACCTCAGCCCCTAACCAGACTTCTCCATATCCAAAATTCTGCTCTTATTGGTGCATTCCTTTTTCTAATTGCTGGCTTTCCTCAAAAGAATACTAGGAGCACCTGGCCAAGTACTCAGTAAATTGTTAGTGGAATATAATAGTAGATTTCCCCAAGGCCCTCTCCACCAAAGATAGGAAAGAGAATTTCATAGTGAGTTCACAAGTGAATTTCTTCCCTTAACCTTTAATATATAGCCTTTGCCCTACAACTTTTATTTCTTTCAGAAGTTGTTCAAGTTAATTTTCAGTAAAAATGTATTGCCATGTTCTCCCTTCTTTTTTTTTTTTTTTTTTTTTTTTTTTTTTAAGAAATAGATATCAGCTGGGCATGGTGGCACATGCCTGTAATCCCAGCACTCAGGTGAGTGAAGCAGGAGAATCACCAGGAGTTTGAGGCCAGCCTGGGTTATATAGTGAGTTTAAGGCCAGCCTAAACTACATAGCAAGACCATGTCTCAAAAAAAAAGGAAATAGGGCTGGGGAGTTAGCTCAGTGGTTCCACTGCCTGCCTCAAAAGCACAAGGTCCGAGTTTGGTCAAAAAAAAAAAAAAAATCAAAAAACAAACAAAATAGGAAATAGAAATCAATAATTCTAGATTGAGTGCCATCTGCATGTAAAACTCCACATGTGAAGCCTCTAAAAGGATTTAAAAATGCAAAATCCTGCTTATCTCGTTTTGTATTCCTCATCTTGGTCTTTAAAAAGGAGGTGAGATGTATGTGAAAAGGGAAAAAATTCTATAACAACTAAATGCAATTTAGTTGGCCTAGATCCAGCACTCGTGGAGGAAAGCCCTACAGGAAACTATTAGAACCACGAGCCACGTTGGAATAGTGTCTATAGATTGAAATTGATATGACATTTCCTGAATTTGATAATTGTACTGTGATTTTGTAAGAGTATATTTTTTATTCTTAGAAAGTACACACTGAACTATTAAGGACAAAGAAACACAAAACCTGCAACTTACTTTCTGTGGTTCAGAAAAAATAAAACCATATGTGCGTGTAAATGTTAAACACGAGTTGCTAACTTGCATCTTTTCTGTTTGCATGAAATTATCTATTAAATGTTTTTTAGAAAAGCTATTTTTACTAGAAACGACCAATACAATAAATACTGATAGACTAATCTGATTGGTTTACCAGTAAATAATTAAGCCCTTAGGGTGATTTCCTTCCCATAAATTATATAAAAATATCTTGTCTCCCTCCCTTTTAAAAAAACTCATTTTGAGTGAATGTACCCAGAAAATCAAATTCCAGCTGGATCCCTGTAATTTTGAAGATGTTGGCAGTATCACCACACAATGGCACGTACTCCACATCCCAGTGCTGTCTGCTCCGCCTCTTAGTGATACCCAGAACCCCTGTGATGCAGCTCAATTTTCATAAGCGTAGAATACAAATCTTTCTACTGTAGACTGAAAGGTAGCTGAGGGTTAAAGATCACTCCTTGCTTTCTGGCTTTAGTTGGCTTGGCCAGCGGATGCTCCAGAGCAATATTGTCTTGTTCCAGCATATGTCAAGCTGGACCCAAAAGCTGGAGTTGCGGGGAACCTGGGAGCTGCTGGGACAACAGAGAGTGGACATGTGCAATCAGAAAGCAGGTGAGGCCAGGCAAGGGAGAGGAGCAAGAGATAAAACCAGGAAGGCAGGAATGACTTTGAGTACTAGGGCAGCAACCAGGTCTGTGGGCAATAGGAAGCTGCAGAGGGTTTTACTTACTTACTTACTTACTTATTTATTTATTTATTTATTTTTGTACCGGGGATCGAACTCAGGTCCTTGTACTTGTGCAGCAGGTGGTGAAACCACTGAGCTAAATCCCCGGCCCTGCAGAGGGTTTTAAATGATGTTACAAGGCACGCTGTGAAGGAGCTTTCGCCAGCAGCAGTGTGTGACGTGGGCCAGGGTTGGGGTGAGTGGGGAGAATCTTGGGGCAGGAAGAACAACTGGAAGCTTGGCAGCAGTCTTCAGGAGCCACCATCAGTGGCAAAGGGACAGACGAGAGGATGGGGGAGCCTCAGTAGACCTGGGGTCTGCTGCTTGGGGGAGGTGCAAAAGAAGGAAAGCGTGCGATGACTTCAAAGCTTCACACTTGGAAGGCACACAGGACAAAGGTGTGGCCAGACCTCTGGCACTGACGTAGAGTTAGGCTGTGGCATTCCAGGAAATGATATTACCAGGAAGCAGGAAAGGCACTCAGACCACAAGGCATTGTGATCTGGGACACAGTATTCTTTAGGCTTTGGATAGATCAGCAGTGGAAATGAGTGGGCAAAGGGGGAACTTTATCTGTGGTGGGAACAGAATGAGGTGTCCAGGTTGTGTCCTGCCCTCTCCAGAATGCAGCCCAGCTAGCCAAGAGCCCCCGTCCCTCAGAGGACTGCTCAGGGGCCGGAATCCTGGCTCAAATCCATAAAGAGGCAAGCATCAAGTCACTGGATCACACTGCAAATCATTTCGCATACAGTTGGCTTTGAGGATAGATTTGTAGGAGGAATTGGTTAATGATTCTAGAAGACCTGGTGAAAATAGCTCCATACTCAAATAGCCCTCCTAGGGTGGGTGTTGTTCACATCTGTGCCCACTGGGTTCTCCTGCTGTCCTGCCCAGGTTTCACCCCGCCTGGGTCACCTGGAAGGTCACCAGAAAGTCCCGGCCTGCACACAGGTCTCTGTGCAGTACCACAGCTCCCTCTGCCTTTGCAAGTAAGGACTTAAGGGAGGCCCCACAGCAGCCCCCTCCCCACACTGCTCTGTGCCAGCCACAGAACACACAAAGGAACAGAAGAAATGGCCTTCCTAGGACTTGAGAATAAGGGAATGAAATCTGCAGCTAGGAAGAGTGTGTATGGCAGGAAGGAGTCCAGGAGAGGTCCCCCCTTTCTCCTTTCTCTCAAGTCTTGAAACACACAGAAAATTGCTCTAGTTCAAGGGCAGGAGACACTGGGCCTTCTCTACAGCTCTGTCCCATCTCAGCTGAGTAGTTCACTTGTACCTGTTTTACATGCCATAGTGCATTTGAACAGGGGCCTCCGTGTGGGCACCAAACCACCTGGACAGTATTCATGTGCTCTTGTTGATACAAAACAGAAGAGAAGGTGTTTAATGAGGACTTCTGAAGAACTCCAGGGCTCATACCTCAGGTCAGTGTTTTGGGTTCGAGAAAGGTGACTTCTCTTTAGAAGCTTTCCTATAGAAAAAAAAATATGAAAGACTTGTAAGAGGGAGAGAAGGAGGGAGGGGACAGAGATACAGTCAGTCAGACAGACAGACCAAACTCTGGATCTTCTCCTTGGAGTATGAGCCTCTAGTAATCCTCCCCACCCCCACATAGGTCCCTAAGCCACAAAAAGTCAGGTACACTTCTCACCCTGCCACATAGGACAGGACTGCTTGGTGGTGATGTGTTCAGTCCCACCTGCTCTACAACCCCTCTGCCGACCAGCATCTCCCCTCACTCAGCCCCACAGCCACCTCTTCTCAGTGTATCATTCCACATAACCCTTGTTTTCCTAGTCCTTTATGATTTTCTCTTTCGTGTGCTATATAGTTTTGTCTCCCTAGCTAGCCCGTGTCTTCTGTTAGGTTTAAAAAGTAGTGGGTGTTGTACAATTTGTGTTGATGGCTCCATCTTTAACTCCAGTCAATCCCTGACTCCGTAAGGAGATTGGGGTACCCTCTGCAATAAGAGAGTTCTAGAACAGGCAGACTCTCCTGATGGAACCAGCTCAGGGCACCTTGCATAATTACTACGAGCTTATTGCCTGGGTCTCGTGGGCTACGCATTTCCAGTCCTGTGGTATTTGGACCTTCGTCACTCTTACCTCTGCGGTCTGGGTCTCAGAGGGAGCCAGCCTGGGGCTGCAAGGGCCATGACCATGGGTTAACTGGAGACACCAAAGGGGCCTCTTGAGCGTGCCACAGTGACCCAGAGAGAATCTGAAATCGTGATGAAGCTCGGTGGAGAGGAGAAATGTGAACGCGATGTTCAGAACTGGAGCTTTGGGTCAGAGCACAGAGCTGTAGCCAGGTGGCGTGGGGAAGCTGAGCCCCGGCAGTCATGTAGCCCAGCACACAGCCTCAGAGGAAAGACCAGCACTTGCCAGCTCTCCCCCAAGTGGGTTTCTCCCACCCATGCCCCTGCTACCCTCACACTGACACACGTGCACCACTGTCACCCACCGTGACCTAGCCTGTGAGCCAGCGTGAAAGCATGAGAGCTTCTCACAAGCTCAGCCCTTGAGCAAGTGGGGAGGGAGGCCTGGGAGGAAAGATAGGGAGTACCGGGTCACTGTGACATTTTAGAGGCAGCTTAGCCAGCAAAGCCTCAGGCCTGTGGGGATTTGCTCTGTGTCACAGAGGGTCACACCCTGGAACCTCAAAGGCTGCCCACCAGCTCTGTTCCATTCCCACCAGCCCCCAGGATCGCCCAGAGGACTGTCCGAGCATCGCCTCTTCCCTGCCTCTGCTTTCCCATAGGTTCTTTCCTGATCAACTCAGATGCACAGACCTCAAAATGGCTTTCTCATTCTGAGGTGCCACAGGCCCTGTTCTGCGAATGTATTCAAACGAAGAGGTACCAATACCAGTAGGAACCACTCTGCTAGGATGTGCACTCCAACGAGCCTCCCAGTCAGACCTGAATACCTCTTCAGACTATTTAAACATATCTGCCTCCGTGGAGTCTTTGTACCTAATTTTAAAACCTAAATCATTTTCTGACTCATTCTTTCACTCCTACTTAGGTGGATCATGAGTTTTTCCTCTTACTATGATAGGTATAGAGTCAGAAGTGATCAGATCAAGGACATTCATTCATTCATTCATTCACTGGACAGATCTTTACGAAGTGCCAGTCTGTCAGGCCTAGCATCCAAGCCACCACCATCTCCCCTGTGCTTCTGCAGAACCTCTGCCCTGGTCTTCCTGCCTCTGTTGTCAGAGCCTGTGCTTTGTTGCCCATGTGGCTAATGATTCAAAAGCACTTCTTGAGCGTAAATCAGATAGTGTTGCTCTCCACTCACAACTTGTCTTCTTATCTGACTCAGAATAAAACCCAAACTCTCAGAGTCACACACAAAGCCCTCCCACCCTGGCCCAGCAGTTCCAGCCTTCTGGGAAGCCTCCAGTTTACCAGGTTCTCCTAGCCTTGGGGCCTTTGCACAAGCTGCTTGCTCTGCTGGGGCTCTCTTCCCTATCCCTGCATGGCTCACTCTGTACCATTACATCTTAGCTTCAGTGCCATTTGCACAGGGCCTACTTTTACCACCTAGACTACAGTAACCACCCCAGTTGTTTGCTGTCACTAACCTTTCTGCTTTATTCTTTGCCTAGTTTTCAGCTGTTTTGTTCACTACTGTATTCTGAGAACCTGGCATATAATAGGTGCTCAATAAAAATCACTGTTGGGTGGTCGGTGAATGAGTGAATAGAAAATGTATTAGTCAAAGTAGTTAAGCACAATAAGGAGGTTAGTATTTTTGGAGTTGTCCTGGTAAGGAGGGTAAGGATGGGACTGTGGATTCTGAGTAGTTATGAAATTGCCCTGAGTCCTAGTTATGGCAGATCATCTCAGCTACCTCTCCCCAGAAACAGCGATTCAATAAGGAACCAACTGAGCATCTGCTAAGACTGGGCACTGTGGCAGGTCTGGACCAACTCCATCTCTCCCTCATCACTCCCTCCTATCTCATGCAAGATGGAATTTCTTGAGCAAGGGTTTCACCCACAAGCACAGGGATGGCCTGGGGAAGCCAGCAGGGAGGCTTGGAGGGCAGCCCCTTCCTCCTGGCCTGTCTGACGGCTTCCTAACCTCTTCTCTCTCCAAGCAGACTAGTGGTAGGGTGGGGCCAGAGCACATCACCTCCGCCCCTCAGACACTCCTGTTCCACTGGCCCTCATGTACCCCTCCTCACTCTGCCAGACCCTTTACACCTTCCTCCATTCCAAAGATGAATAAGCATTGCTGGCATGGTGGCACACACCTGTGATTCCAGCACCTGGGAGGCTGAGGCAGGAGGATTGCCGTGAGTTCAAGGCCAACCTGGGCTACATAACAAGACTGTCTCACCCCCCAAGAAAACCTTACAAAGATGAATAGTCAGGCTGAGTTAGAGTGCTAGCCTATATGCACGGCCCTGGGTTCGCTCCCTAGCAATGCAGAAAAAAAATTTAAATGAAGATGAATAAGCCAAGGTTCAGAGAGTTAAAGTAATGGGCCCAAAGTCCTGTGGAAAAGAGTGTCATGGCCAGAGTTGAATGCTCAGATCCCGTGGTGACAAAGGCCTTGCTCTTTCGGCCCCCTAGGTCTGGACCTCAGAGCACAGGGGACAGTGCAGGTTTTCTAAAGCCACTATCATGTTTCAAAGAAGACTCTGAGTCATAACCCCAGAAAGGGGGTGGGGGCTGGGGAGGCACAGCAAGAGGAGAGCAGATGCCCTCCACCAGGGTTGCTGGTTCCTGTCCTACAGGTCCCTGCCTAGAAGAGTCATAAGAAGCTTGAGGAAGGAGGCAGAACTTCTGAACTACAGTTGGGGACCTGAAGCCCAGGGCAGATAAACGATCATCAGATCCCATGTGACACAGTACACAGCGCTTTGCTGTACTGCCCCCAAGCCTTGATTCACGTGGAGGAAGGGACAGAAGGATGGGGTGCCCACCAAGACTCGCCCAGACTCCTGGGTCGGCTGAGCTCAGGTCCGGAGAGGGCAGAGGCAATGCATGCTCCTTGGAAGGGCTTGGAGGGCCTCCAGCAGCATGGGGCAGGAAGCAGTGTTCTGTGAAGCACGCATCTACACCCTGAGTTTCCATCGCCTTGGTCTGCCCTGGGCCTCTGGGCTGTCTGGGTGTTTCTCCCTATTGTCAAGAGGGTACCAGCAAGGAAAGACAGGAAGTGAGGAATTGAAGTCCTGGCTGGGTCTGTCCAGTGCAGGGAGGGCTGGCTGTCAAAGGAAGTAGTGTGTAGGAAGGAACATTATGTGCTTCCTCGTTCATTCCTTCAATTCATTCCTTCATTCCTTCAAGTCATGGAGCTCGATCAAGGTAGGCTATGTTCCCCACGCCTTCCCCACTTCCTACCAGCCACAGTGGGCTGTCACAGTGGGGCTCCAGCGGCCACAGCCATATTGTCTTTCCCATCTCACTGTTCCCAACGACCCTGGGCCCGACGTCCACCTGTGTCTCAGCAAGTGCATCACTGGCAGCTGGCTCCCGTGATGCAGAAGCAGATGCAAGTGAATGCTCCCATTTTCACCTGGGAGCAGGTCATAAGTGCCCATGAGTTCCCTGGCCCCGGCTCGCCCTTGTTGCGGGGGTGATGGGACTGTTTCCATGGCCTTCCAGTGACTAAGCCCCAGAGAGACGACAACAGGCTCCTTTTGAGGAAATGAGGGTCATTTTTGCATCATTTTGCCTCCACTCTTGCTGTCCCTGAAGGCCAAGCTCCCTGCCCCAAGTTGACTGACCTCAGTGGGTAGCAATAAGCCCACAGTCTGGGCCCAGGGCATCTGGTGCTGACCTGGCTAGCAGGGTGCTGTCGTCTCTTTCGTGAGGGCTTCCTCTCCTCATGGCCTCAGTGCCCCGCCCCTTGCCTTTTTAGTCCAGAACCTTGGCTCACCTCTGTGAGCACTGGGTCTCCTTTTTTTTTTTTTTTTTTTTTTTGGAGAGAGGGTCTCACTGTGTAGTTCAGGCTGACATTGAACTCACTATGTCACCCAGGCTGGCCTCGAACTCGAGGCTGTCCTCCTGCCTCAGCCTCCCAAGTGCTGGGATCACGTGTGCCCCACTACACCTGCCTTTAGGGTCTCTTTCACAATGGTGAGCTTTCTTCCTTATGGGCCCCCTGGTTCAGTTAGCAGGACTGAGGATCCTGCTGGCCAACATCTCTCCCTCAGTCACAATTTAAGGCCGACCCTTGGGGAACCCCCTTCCTGACATCTGTCCCTTGTCCACCCAAGTTCATTCACCTTCAGACTTCCTCCAGTTCCAACAGGCACATGGTTGTTAAACCCAGAAATGTCTGAGAAGTCCTGCAAGGCAGGGCAGTCAAGAACAGGCCACTGTGGGAGCCCTTCATTTTTCAGCTTCCTGCTGTTATCCAAGGAGGCCCAAAGTGTAACCTCATCCTACCCACCAAAAGCTCCAAATTCTGTTTTCAGATCTTGGAAGACATCCTTGTGGGTACACGACAGCCTGCCTTCCTATTTTCACTGCTCTTTTTGACTCAGAATCCACATGGCACAGCCCTTATAGGCAGAAAAACAGAATAGATGGTGACTCTGGTGGTGGCAGGGCATCACAAGGAGGGCCTTACCTCTGCCTGTGGTGGAACACGTGTGTACATGCAGAGAGCAGGCTGTGCTGAACCTGTGCACGCCTTTCCTGCTTCTCTGGAAAGAATACATGGCATGAGGTTGGACAGGAATGTACACATGTGCATCACGAGAACAGGATCTTAGGAGACAGGCCCTGGCCAGCTCATAGATGCCTCATGACAAGCAAAAGCAAGGAGTGTCCCGGTGTGTCTAAATGACCAGGGCCCCTTGCCATAGTGCAGTAATGGATCTGGTCAAAAGTACATTTCTGAGGGGCCGGGGATTTAGCCCAGTGGTTTCACCACCTGCTGTGCAAGCATAAGGACCCAAGTTCGATCCCCAGTACCAAAAATAAAAAAAGTACATTTCTGGGCCAGGGATTTAGCTCAGTGGCACCTATCCTGCCTTGCAAGCGCAAGGTCCCAAGTTCGATCCCTGGTACTGAGAAAAAAAAAAGTACATTTCCTGTGAGGTGGGTCTGCAGGACCATAATACCTCTTAATGGGGCAGGGCCATACATAGAAGAGACTGAAGAACGGAGAGATGGAAGGGAGGGCACTGGCAAAGTCACAGGAAGGACTCAAAAGTGAAGCAGTGGAGAGGAGAGTGCAGGTTATCGCTTCACATACCCTCTGTACGTCTCCCTGTAGCTGAGCTCCTGGACCCAGTAAGACCTCCAGTGCTGTCATCCTGTACAAATGTTGCTAGCTCCCAGGCCTCAGCATTCTCTGTCCTTGTCAGATCAACCCCGTTTGGCTCTCATTCTTCTATCCACACTACAATCTGTTTATTTGTTCTGAGACAAGGTCTTGCTGTATAGTACAGGCTGAGCTCAAACTTGCAGTCCTCCACCTTCAGCCACCCAAGTGATAGGATTATAGGCATGCACCGCCGCACTCATCCAGACCATAAACTTTTTAAGGGCAGAGGCTCCAGCAGGCCAGTTGTCATGTTACATTGTCAAGTGGTCACATCAGGCTGACACCTCTCTTCTGTAGCATAGTTTGGTTTTGGACATGAACATGGACCTGGGGTTTGAGGTAGGCAGCTCCCCTTGGGTCAGGGGGGTCTTCTTCCCACTCTCCCAGAAAGCCCTAGGGCCTCCAGTGACCCAGTAATGAGCCCGTAGTTCAAGAAAGGTTAGGATGGGTTGGTAGGGCTCCCTGGGGACCCCCAGTCCCATCATACCAGAAAATGAGACTCCTCTTTCTTTTAAAAGTCAGTTGAAGTATATTGGTTCTCCTTCAGGGTCTCTAAGGTATTGCTTTTTTCCAAAAAGGAAAAATACCATGTTTGGTCCCCCTCATCTGTGCCAGACTAGAGAACCTTTAAGAGGAAAACTCCCAAGAACCTACTTGGTCAAGGGTTGGCATGGGGAACGCAGTCAGGGAAATACACAGAACCTGATGTAAAAGATTCAGTTTGTTTGGAAAGGGGTTTGGGTTGGTTTTGGGTTTTGAGTTACAGCTTGGGTGTGTTCGGAGAAGCAGAATTGAGCAGCCCCCTTGACCTGTGGCATCCATGAGCTTCTTCAGCTTCTCCTGCCCAGGATGCACCCCTCAAAGACCACTCTCCTGGCAGGCAGCAGGAACACGGTCCTTCCTCCCAGAGTCAGGAGTGCTGCCACCTGAGTGCTCAGGGACACACTATACCAGCTGGCCGTGGGAATACTCAAGTTTTCAACTTGGTTACTCTGATTTCATTATTTCTCTGACCTCTATAACCAGCAGTGATTGAGGCTCTGATGGTGTATTTTTTTTTCATACTCTATTTTTGTACTTTGAAGCTGTGAGCTGTGGTTATGAAATGCACTCTCACAAACGTTGGCTCTGAACCCACAGGACCTAGGAAGTGATCCTACACTTGCCAGGCTGCACCCCACAAGCAGCCCTATCACTGCCCCAGCCCCACCCCACACTCCAGGAGGAACAGCGGGGACAGGAGTTGCTGTGAGTAAGAGCCTGGGCCAAACACAAGTGGGCTTCTGGCCAAGGATTTTAGATTTGACTCTTTTTAGATTTGACTTTTCTGCTGGCTTCCCAAGCACATGATGAGGGGGTCAGAGCCCTCACAAGCAGAATTCTCAGCCCCAGATGCAACATTCCTTTGTCTCCATACAGACTGTTGTCCCGAAGCCCCTCTTCCTCACCACCTGCAGGAGCTCGCAGCACCAGCTTGTTTCCTTCAGTACCACAAGCACTGAGCAGTGGTGAGTGCTTGTCATGGCCGCAGGACTGTAGCCCTCAGGCAGGCATACAAGGCCTCCGAAAGAGCCCCTCTCAGCCCCTCCCTCTAGCCTCTCGGTGTCTCCTTTCCCCATGCTCCTCCCTTCCTCCCAACCCAGAATAGATCTAGGAATCGCCTGATGTTTCCACCTTGGCTACAGACTTGGCCATAAATCTTAGACTGTTTTTCATCTTTGAAAAAGCCATTTCTATCAGCAAGTCATCATTCACATGTGAGGGGTAGGGAAAAGGTCACTAAACTTCAGACTTCAACTTCTCTTCACTCTATTTCCTAACATCCTCTCCCCAGAAACCACAGCATTTTTTTTCAAATGGGTCCCCAGTAGGCAGTAGGCAATATGTGCCTGGTGACACAGCCTGCTAGGCCCAAGGAAGCCACTTGGGGAGAAGGGGTGGAGAGTGAAGAGAGCAGGTTACCCGGGGGTGGGGTGGCTGCCTCTCACCCATGCAGGAAAATGGTCTCAGTCTCGGAGAACTGAAAACCCACTGTTCTTATTTTAGAGGGGTGGATTTGGTGGGTGGAGATTCGGGGAGACAAGAGTGATATTTATAACAAAAGCCTTGACTTAGCTGTTGCTATAAATTCAAAATGAAGAATACAGTATAAGGGCCGGGGATTTAGCTCAGTGGTTTTGCCGCCTGCTACGCTAGCGCAAAGACCCAAGTTCGATCCCCAGTACCCCCCCCCAAAAAAAAAAAAGAATACAGTATGCTGTAACTAATGGACTAGGACATACCTCAATTCTATTTCTCCTAGCTAAAAGAAAGACGAAGGGAAAGTGAATTTGGAGCAGATGGGAAGTGAAAGGGAGAGTGGGGTAGAGGGAAACAGATTGACAGGCAAGGTTGTGGCTCTTTCTGTCTTTCTGGTTCTCATCCTCCACATGTTGGCTTTTTGACCTCAGGCTTGTTCTCATGGTTACAAGGTGGCTGTTGAACCTCAGATGTCATCCCAGCCTTCTAGATAGGAAGAAAGGCAAGAATATAAATTTTTCTTATCATTCAGTTCTTTTTATCCACAAAGAAAAGCTATTCTCTCAGCCCCCAGCATGTGTCTGTGTGCTTCCTAGGCCAGGTCTCGGTACAGGGTCACCTGAGCTTGACACGGTGCCTCGGAGAGTATCATGCTGCAGAGAATGGGACCGGGCCAGATACCACCTGGAGCTGCGGGCGTCACCTCCCTGCACAACAGGAAGAAGGGGCTGGCTGCTGAGTGGACAGCTGAGGAATTGAGGGGAGAAAGGGGCGAGTGCCTTCTCAGGCAGGGAACTAGGGGGAAGACGGGAGGCTATAGGGAACGGAGCAAACACAAAAGCTAAAACTAGAGACAGCCAATAGCTGGGCTCTCTTCAAGGCCCTCACAGGATCTGAGCAGAGACATACAGAGGTGAAGACGCCTGACATGGAAGCAGGGAGGGGCACCAGTGCTCTCAGCAACAGGACTTTTTCACTCCCGTGTATGAATATAGGTCACCTGCAGATCTTGTCAAAGTGCGACCTGAGTCAGTAGTTGTAGTAGGGCATGAGATCTGCATTTCTTACCAACTCGCAGGTAACCCTGATGTGACTGACCCAGGGACCATATTTGGAGTAGCAAGACCTAAAGGATGCTCTTGGGAAACAAATGTTCAAGTATGTTTGTTAGGCATTTTCAAGTAACTGATTGTATGCCTGAAATAGGAATTCAGACTTACAGGAAAGTAAAAGAAAAAAAGGAACTTTTAGATTGAGCTTTTTTTTTTCTTTTTAAAGGCAAAATCTGATGTATCTTTTTGGGATCCTGATGTCTACATATAACAGAAAAGCCAGTGATTTGAACACAGTGGAGGAGCCCAACCTTAGTCATAAGGACCCCAGGCCCCAGGTGGCTCTGTCTTTCTCACTGTCCTGGCACGTGACTTCCGTCCTCAAGGTCACCTCTTGGTCCAGGATAGTTGCTACAGGCATTAGCCATACTGTCCTCATTGCTGAGGAGAACAGAGTTTGAACCCTCCCCCCTTTTAGGAACTCTCCCAAAGTTCCATGAAATATTTTGTTTATCTCTCACTGGCCACCACTTAATAACACGGCCATATTTAGCTGTAAGATGCAAAGCCATGTGCTCTTTAGTGCTGGGCACATTACCTAGAATTATCTTACTAAAGAAGCGGGGAACACATCCAACTGTATATCACTTTGATATTAGAGATTGCCTTAAATAACATGCAGTCCTTAGAAATAAAGAGATGTATAAAACTATTCCAGGCAAATAGCAACAAAAAGAAAGTAGGGATAGTGTTGTATATGATAGAAATAGGAGATGATCAAGGTAGGGTCTCACAAATCACATGGCTTATTGCCAAAGGGAATTTTCACAGGTTCAGGATGCTCAAGGAGAGAGCAGGCTGGGTGAGGGTTAGGCTGAGTGGTAGAGTTTTGCTCAACATACTCAAGGCCCTGGGTTCAGTTCCCCAGTGCTGGGGAAAAAAGGAGGGACAACATGAATGAACATCACAGGGAATATATTTAACAGATGAGGTACATTAACCACATAATTATTAAGGTCCGTTTGCTCAGTTGGGGTGGAAACAGGCCTCTATGGAAAGTAAGATGTGATTAAAGTTTGAGGTGCACCTTTATGGAGCAGTTCTTTGGAGAAGCCAGCCTGTCCTGTCCATCACAGTAGACATCAAAATGACATGTGAGGCCCTCCATGCTAGAAGGCAGTGTGGACTGGCAAGTCTGTAAGTTGCAAGGCTCACAAGCATCACCCTGTCATAGCTCGAGGTTCAGAGAAGCAGCTGACAGTGCAGCCTATCACAGGGTATGCTTTTAGTCTTGGGAGAAGCAGTCAGTCAACAGAAAGCAGCCTGCCACAGCCTGAGCTCTCAAAGTGATGGTGAAACCCTTATGTTTTGAAGTCCAGGGGTTGAGGTCAGAAACTCACATGCAGGGGCTCTGGTAAGTTTGATGTCGCTCCCTGAAGAAAGGGGGCGTTCACTCCAAGTCCTCACATGAAGTCTCATAAGATGTACGTCCCCCTGGAAGGGAGTGGAGAGGACACTCCAAAACCAAAACATCAAGTAGCGAGTAGCAAACCATGTAAGTGTGTGGAAGCATTCCAGTGCTACATAACTGGCTGTGACAGTATTACCAAGCGCATGAAATTTTTTTTTTTTTTTTTTTTTTGGTATCTGGGATCAAACTTTGGTCTTTCTGCTTTCGAGGCAGACGGCAGAACCACTGAGCTAAATCCCTGGCGAGCACATGAAAATTTAAGACAGTAAAGTGTGAAGATGAACAAGAGGGAAAGCATTGGATAATGATAAAAGGAATGACCCATAAAGAAGCTGTAACAGACACAAACCTCTATACATCAGGGAAAATAGCAACAAAATTTACCCAAAACAGTATAAGAAATGTTAGGAAAAATTATTAAAATTATAGTCATAGTGGGCCGGGGATTTAGCTCAGTGGTTTGGCCGCCTGCCTCACAAGCACAAGGTCCTGAGTTCAATCCCCGGTACCAAAAAAAAAAAAATTTACAGTCATAGTAGGATAATATAACCTACCTTTCTCAGAATATAAAAGGTCAAGTAGACAAAACATAGGGATTTGAATACCATATTTTAAAGCTTGGTTAGGTGTTACAAATAGAAAATAAACATCTATTTTAAATAGCTACATAACATTTACAAAAACTGGTCATATTTTAGGTCACCAAGAAAATTTCAATTCCATAAAATAGAAATCTTAATAGGCCACCATTCAACCAAATGGCAAGCACATTAGAAATCTAAAGTAAAAATATAACAACAAAATGCCACAAACTTCTAAATAAGTTTATGCAATGCCACAGCAAAAATTGAAGACTCCTTTGAAGCCCAAACAAATGAAAACACTTATCAAATTTAAGTAATGCTCCAGGTACAGTGGCATACCTTTGTAGTCCCAGCTACTCAGGAGGCTGAGGCAGAAGAGTTGCTTCAGCCAAGGAGTTCAAGGCCAGCCTGGGCAACTGATGAAGGTCTCATCTCAAAACAAAAAAGATGTAAGTGGATGAAGCTCTGTTCAGAGGAAATACTTGCAAAATATTAGATGATTAAATTGTTAAAAGACATAGACATGAACAATACACATTTTAAAAAATACTCATCCTCACTAATAATGCCAGCTAGAACAGCAGTGCCCTGTCGTTTCCCTGCATCTTACTGGCTCAGAAGAGGAGATTATTCTCAACTGATTGCTGTAGCTATGAAGTAGCAGGCAAGATCATACCTGGCTGGAACTGAAACTGTAAACTGGTACATTGTTAGAGGGAGTTTAATGGTATCTACGGAAAGTTTAAATGTATATACCAACTGAGCCAGTCCTTTCACTTCTGTTTAGCCTATGGAAAGGCACATGTATATGATTATTCCTTTCAACATTGTTTAGAACTGGAAATGAAGGACCAACCTAAATCAAAGGATTAGTCAAATAAATTTTCTCATCTCCACACACCATGCAGCAGTTAAAAATAAATGACTAAGTCTGTATGAACTGACATGCAAGGTATTCATGGTCTCTTGTTACCTGGAAAAAGTAGCAGAACAGAATATCTGGGGTGATTCCACTTGAAGCTATAATAATAATAATTATTATTGTACATAAACATGGACTTTTGTATGTCTAGAAGCTGTGTTATGCATTCCAGCCTTGGCCATCTCCAGGGGCCTGGCCAGGAGAGGAAGTGCGTGAACTGGCTGGAGAGGCAGTCGGTGGATAGTAAGGACTGGTGGCAAGTGGTCAGTCGGTCACATGCCGCCTGCTGTAGCCAGCTGTTGCAGTGTGTAACTTGCCAGCTCCCCCAGCCAGGATCCTTGAGTTGGGACTCTACAGATTTGGATATACTACTCTGTTTCAGCCCCAAGCCAGCCTCCTCGGGCCCCTTGGCAAAGGGCAGTGACCTTCACTGTGGGTCCTCCTCAGCAATGCTGGAGGAACCTGCAGCTTTAGTGGAGGGCAGCTTCATAATCTTCCCCTCTGGCTGGTGAAATGGGCATAGTCATGTCCCTTAGAAAGTTGTAGCAGTTAAAATTTAGTTTAAGATTCTTTTTTAACAGGACACCTGTAACCCAGCACTCTGGAAGACTGAGGCAGCAGGATTGCAAGTTCAATGCCAACCTGGGCAACTGAGCAAGACCCTGTCTCAATGTAAAAGATAAAAAAAAGAATGAGGGTATATATAGCTTAGTACAGAGACCCTGGGGTTCAATAACCAGTACTACAAAAAATTATTTTTTAAACACCCTAAAACTTAGGGACTGTATTTGCTTTGCTGTTGTGGGTTCCATAGTGCTCCCATAAGATCACTTGCTACCACAGACTTCCAGAATCTTCTGAGGGCTCCACATGGGCCATATTACCCCAGTCCCAGTATGACTTTCTAGTTTCTGTAATCCTTGGCAGGGAGAGAGAGCCAGAGCAGTCAGCCTGGAGAAGAGCAGAGATAAATGGCTGACAGGTGAAAATGTGAGGGTCAGCATTCCCCAGTTCCCGATTCCCATCCTGCTTTGTAAAATCTCTGTGCTGCTTCCCTCTTTTCCAGGAGTGACCTGAACTTGATTTCCACCTGACCCTCCGTGAACATAGTGGCCTGGTCATTAAGACTGTAGTCCCGAGTGGTGTGCTCTCTGGTGTAGGGTCACCAGATTTTAGCAAATAAAAGTACAAAGCATCCACTACAATTTGAATTGCAGACAAGCAACAATTTTTTTAGTATAAATATGCCCCGGGCAATATTTGGGAATACTTACACTAAAAAGTTATTTGTTGTTTATCCCAATATCCTGTGTGTAACCTAGCACCCCTTCCCCAGAGGAGTATGGTGGCTGTCCCATTCCAGAGGGGCTTCAGAAAGCTTAAGGAAGATGACCAGCAGGAGTTATGACTAATGGTCAGTCCACTATTAAACACTGTCCAGGCCACAGCCTCCCCTCTTCTGCTTCCCTGCTTCTGAGTGCAGCCCTCACCTTGCTCTAGCTTCTGTCTGTCAGCCTGTGGCTTTCTCCACCCTCCCCACTCCTCTTTCTTCCTCATTTTGCTCTCACTGGTCCATCACATATAATTAAAGTTTACATACTTTGGGTGTTGGTTGTAATTACTAAATAAGGTTTTGTATTCCTTGCTGTAATTTAAATAGCAGGGGAATTTAACTTTTTGTGTGCTGCTTTTTTTTGTTTTTTTTTTTTGGGTAAGTGGCCTTAAGTTCATTTTTAGCCATGTGAATCACTGACCTTCACCTTAAGCAGGAAGAAAGGTCTCCCATATTTGGAATAAACTCATATGCATCTTTCTAGAACAGATGCCAACAGGGCGGGTGTGGAGTGGGATGGGTGGGGCAGTAAGGGGATCCTACTAAGTTGACCCAATCAGAGGGGGAGGCTCAGAAGCCGGGCCTTTTAGGATCAGGCCCATCTGACCATGGGGACAGTCTACTCCTCTTCTCATTGGGATTGATTACCTGACCTCTTCCCAGCCAGAAGCACCCCGATAGAGAAGAATATGGTTTGGGGCCAAGGACTGGGGCCCCAGGAGCCTTCTGCTGTCACACACTAAGGAAACTCCACTTGCTTCCTCCCCTAAAATGGCAGGTTGATTGAACAGTTCTCTGACCTCCTCCTCCTGATGTCTCTCTTCTCTCCTCTTTCTGCCTTTGTTTCTCGATCCTCACTGTCACCCAACAGAGGAATCTGTACCTGTGGCAGGGAGGTATTTTCCCATCTGGGAAGGAGACCTCTGAAGAGCAGTGCCATCCACATATCTCTTGGAGAAAGGATACTTGTCTGGGAATCAGGACTTACGGCTTAGTCTGAACTCCTTGGTTCCACTCTGGGTCTCAGTTTCATCATCTGTAAAGTGGGGGTGATCACATATCCCACAGAATACCTGTATCAAAATATGAAATAAAAACAAATGTCAAAAATGAACAAGGTTCCATCCCTAGCCCAAATGCTAAATGGTAAATGTGTAAGAGTAGAAATGCTGTTTGATGTAGAATCTTCTTCCGTCATCAGATACTGTTTTATTTTGGAGGAGTCTTTATTTTTCCTCTCATGAATCCATGAATATCTGAGTGTTCTTTTCTGTGTTTTCTTTCAGAGGAGAATGTAAAAGAGACTAAAGGAATACCTGTGATCCCCTAGATGTCCCCTATGTTTCAGTAGAAAGGAATTTGGCTCTTTGAAAAGTTTGGCTGAAGACTGGGGATGTAGCTCAGAGGTAGAGCACTTCCCTAGCATGCGCAAGGCCCTGGTTTCAGTTCCCAGTACCACAAACAAACAAAGAAATAACCAATCTGTTTATGCCAGAGGCATAACCTTTGAAGAAGGTAGCTACTTGTACTTGAGGGCTGCACTTGCCAGCTGACCATAGTCCAAAGGATTTTGGACCCACTGTCTCACCTTTGATGGGAATGAAGTAACACTTCACGCATCTGGAGTTCAACAGCTTGCTGAGGAAAGTGCTGCCAGCCATGCAGTACCAAGGCTTTTCCCTAGCTGGAAACCTGATAATGAGTAAGGCATGAGAATCTGAGTTGCCCCAAGTGTGTGGGAAACTGAGGATTAAGGGCCATAGCATTCTGACTCCGATACTTGGACGGAGCTTGTGGATTCCCTCGGTTACAGTCATTCGGGGCTCCAGAAGGCAGAGCTTTAGCCAGAGCCTTGTCTCTGCAGTACCTGGGCAGCCCAGGTCCCTTGTCACCTTTCAGTTCCTGTTCAGTCCCTTGACTTCACTGGCGCAGCAAGACAGTGAAAACAATGAAAATCAGCCACACCCATGGAAATTCATGTCAGGGGAAGAAGGCAGGAAGGGATCAAAGCCACTTGTAACCCATGAATTCCTCAGCAGCTCCAGACCCTTCATAATTACGGTTTGGAGATTTGCCAGAAAGCAAAACCACTTAGCATGCCACATTTAACAATGAGCACTTTTTTGTGTTCATAATAGTCCCTCTGCAAAGCAAATAGGCACCTTGAACAAAAGATAGGAGATTTATATGATATTTATATGTGTACATAAAGTAGCCTCCACCTACCTTAGACTTAAACATGTTTACAGGGAGGACCCATTGTATGAGTAACTTGGAGAAAGGCTACATACTCTGCTCCCCTCTCCCCACCTCCCTGGGCTTCAAAAAAAAACAGAAACAATTTTAACTCAAAATTGCCTAAACCTACTTACTTCCCAACTTTTCCTCACTCTGGCTAATTTTGACTCTGGTTAACTCTGGGGGGTTTTATTTTGTTTCATATATCTTCTGACATTCTAGAAAGCCAGCACTCAGAGGAAAGCTTGGAGGGAAGTGCTACCAGTGGGGCAAAAGTGGAGCCATGGGAAGCCAAGGAAACAAGTCCCATACCCCTGAGTGAGGACCATGAGCCAGAGGCCCATCTTGGCCTCAGATTGGAGCATTTGTTCACTTAGAGTCTTTTGGAGAAACCCTGGTCACGAGGACAGTAGAAAAGAATTAATGGCTGCTCAGAGGAGAGTTTCTTAGAGATGAACCTGAAAAAGATTTTTCAGGGGCAGCAACTGGAAAAGTGAAGAGCCTTCCAGAAACATGTGCAGAGTTCAGGAATGAGTTCCGATGATACAAGCCTCAGGTGCTCCAGTCGGGTAGGGTGAGATGAAGCCAGGAGTAAAGGGAGGACCATAGGGCTGGGGATTTAGCTCAGTGGTTTCGCCACCTGCTGTGCAAGTGCAAGGACCCGAGTTCGATCCCCGGTACCAAAATAAAAAGAGGGAGGACCTTTGGATAGAGCAGGATTCTTTTAGATGCACATGAGAGAAAGTCCATTCTAACAGGCTTCGGCACTGAGGGCCATCTTGGGATATAACTGAGAATTCTGGAGCCAGGGCTGGCTTCAGACAAGATAATTCAAGGGTCAGAGAGTATTCCAAGGATCTGGTTTCTTGCCATGTCTCCCCTCTGCTCCTAGGTTGGTTCTATTTTCAGATAAGTTCATGCTTCCCGTGCAATTCAAGATGGCCACAGCAGCTCCAGCCTTACTTCTTCATTTGTTTGAATACAGTTTTGTGTCTGTAAGATCCCATCGCCTTTTATGGGCTCCTATTGAGTTCCAGGCCCACCCCTTGGACTAATATCAGAGGCAAGGAATATATAATGCCCTATTCAGATTAGACCTGAAGTAAGTGCCCATGCCTGAAGCCGGGGGTAGAACTAGCCCCACCCAAACACATGGACTGAAAGGTGGAGAGGGGCTGTGTCTTGGCTACTTTCCTTGTTGCTGAGACAAAATACTCAACATCCACAGCTTAAAAGAAGAAAAATTTATTTTGACTCACAGTTCGTAGAGTTTTCAATAATAGTCCCCTAGCTCCAAGACAGGACCATATGGCAGAGAAAGGTTGTCAGGGAAGCAGAGGAAATGAACAGAGGAGCTGGAGAAGGAGAGAACTCTTCCAGGTCACACCCGGTCACACCCCCATCTTCTCCAACCAAACCCTACCTCCCATCAGCAAGCCAGCCACAGCTCCCCCATAATCCACTCACCTTCCATAAGGTCCCGCCTATGATCACATGAGGCTCTAGGGGGACATTTAGATATAAACCATAACAGGCTGCTTCTCCAGAGGAAAATTGGGGTCCAGCTATGCAAAGAAGGCTGAATGAAAGCTGGGCTGCAAAAACAACAAATGTTTACTAAAACCTGGACTGCCAGGCCAAAGAATCTGGATATCATTTGCATTGAGAACCCTTAAAGATTTTTGAACAAATAACATAATCAGAGTTATGCATTAATATTAATTCAGCCACAGAGTAACAGCTACCATGTGCTTGATACACGGTAGGGACTTAATAAATATTGAATGAGTGAAAACAGAAATAAATGGATGGTCTGGGGAGGGAGAGGAAGGTGGGAAGCATTTTGGGGAGGACGCTGGAACAGTTTGGAAAGGAAGCTGCAAAAGAAGTAACAAAGACTCATCAAAAAAACCCAGGAAGAGCCAGGCATTGTGGCACACAGCTATTAATCCCAGCTACATAGGAGGCTGAGGCAGGAGGATCACAAGTTTAAGGCTAGTCTGGGCAGCTTAGCAAGACCTTATCTCAAAATAAAGTTTTATTGGGATATGTTTGCAATATCTAATACGTACATATGTGTTGGGGAATTGATATGTATGACATATCATATCATGATCATTTTCAATCCTCTTTTTCTCCCTCCCCTCCCCTTTTCTCTTCCCCTGATCTTCATTTCCAAAATCAAAATGTTAAAACTTTTTAAAGGGCTGGAGATGTAGCTCAGTGGTAGAACATTTCCCTAGCATGTGCAAGGTCATGGGTTCAACCTCTGGTACCACCAAAAATTAAAAAATAAAAAGGGCCGGGGATTTAGCTCAGTGGTTCCACCGCCTGCTCCACAAGCGCAAGGACCCAAGTTCGATCCCCAGTACCAAAAACAATAAAGTAAATAAAAGCTCCACTACCATGAAACCCACATAAAAAGAAACCATCATGTGGGGAGGATTGGGTGACCATGGCAGATACTTTGAAAAGACTGGTCATGCAGGACAGGAAGTGAGGAAAGGTCACAAATGAGGGGTTCAGATGGTTCAGTAGAGGCAGTTACAAGCTAGTTTCAGGGAGCTGAGAATCAGGAGATGGGCAGCGAAAAGACCCAGTTGAGGGCTCCTCTGTTACATCACCAGACTTCTCCTTGTCCCCTCACACTCAGTGACGAACATGCCTCTTCACCCCCACACCCTCTGCACAGCATCTTACGCCTCCTCCGTGGCCTTTGTGCAGCCAGGATTCCTCTTTCTCCCCTGTGTCTCTAGCCTCTTTTTCTCTTCCCCCAGAGGCGCCCTCTCCTACAAATATTTACATTACTCTCCGGCCCCAAAGCCACATGTCCTAGACCCTGCTCAGCCTTCAAGCTAATGTTTCAAAAGAATCATCAGAGAAATGTTGAGGGTGGGGAGAACGGAAGTTTGAGCTTATGTTGGATGTCCTTTGTAGAAGACAAGATGATCTGTAAGAATGAGTGTTGAGGGAGTAGGATATAGGGCCAGGAAGAAGGTGGGAACAGTTTATATAGGGGTTTAGGGAGGATTTACCAAAAAATAAATAAAAGAATTGCTAGGGAGCAGTTAAGTCCAGCTAAGATGACATAGCATGAATTAATGGAGAGTCTAATCAGCCTCGATTGTGTGGAATTGGTGGCCCAAAGTAAAACAGTATATTGGGACAGGAGAGTAGTGATATGGCTGTCAAGCCTGGAGTTGGGTGCCCTGGATGTGTAATAAGAGGCAGAGTGAAAGATGTAGAGATTAGGGGGAGGGCAACTTGGTGGAAGAGGCAGAAGGTTAAGTGCCCATCTTAAGAATATAGAAGTGGGGGCCGGGGATTTAGCTCAGTGGTGCTGCCGCCTGCCTCGCAAGCTCAAGGTCCTGAGTTCAATCCCTGGTACCAAATATATATATATATATATACACACACACACACACACATAAACACACCCACACATATATATGTATATATATAGAAGGGCCATATGGTATAGGAGCTGTAGTGTATACAAGGTGTGATGAAAATATACAGTCAATGTTTAAATTTAAAACATTTATTACAGTAAAAGACACATTGCTAGGCCGGGGATTTAGCTCAGTGGCACCACGCCTGCCTCACAAGGGCAAGGTCCTGAGTTCAATTCCCGGTACTGCAACACACACACCCCCAAGACACATTGCTATTAGTCCCCTGTAAAATATTGCCCTTGCTTCAAACATGCTTATCCCATCATTCTGGCCACTTTCTGAAGCAGTTCTGGAAGTCCTCTTTTGTGTCTTTGATAGTTCATGGCTGCTTTGATGTCCTGATTCAATTCAAAACATTAACCTTTCGTGGTCATTTTGACTTTGGAAAAGAACCAGAAGTCTCATGGTGCCAAATCTGGTGAATAGGGTGGATAAGGACACAGCAGAATGTTTTTATTTAATAGAAATTATCATAGATATTTAATTAACATGGGATGACCATAAAATACAGTGAATGTTTATGTTTTAAAAATTATTGCACTAAGGGCTGGGGATTTAGCTTGGTGGTTCCTCTGCCTGCCTCGCAAGCGCAAGGTCCCAAGTTCAATCCCCAGTACCAAAAAAAAATTATTGCATTAACAGACACACTGCTATTAATTCTCCTCAGAGTAATCAAAATACTTCTGCTTCAAATATATTTATCTCATTGTTTGTGGCAGTATGTCTTTTACTGTGTAAGTTTTTTAAATTTTAAACATTCATCGTATTTTTTGATCACCCATTGTAGGCAGCGTGGTTTAAATCCCAAGTCTACTTTGGTTCAAACCTACTGTGTGTGTGTGTGTGTGTGTGTGTGTGTATGGTACTGAGAGTTGAACTCAGAGCTTTGTATTGTACTACATCCCCAGGTTTTTTGTTTTTTTTTTTCCAGTACCGGGGATCAAACTCAGGACCTTGCGCTTGCAAGGCAGGCACCAGAACCACTGAGCTAAATCCCCAGCCCCCCAGCCTTTTTTTTGAGACAGGAGCTCTCTCAGTTGCCCAGGCTGGGCTTGAACTTGCAGTCAGGCCTCCAGCCTTAGCCTCTCAAGAGTGCTGGGATTACAGGCATGCACCACCATATCTGACTATAAAATCTTTTATAAGTTACTATAATTAATACATGTGAAACACTTACGATAGCACCTCACAAATGAGTGCTCAATAAACATTACCAGTGATGCTGAGGATGTTCATTCCTAAGTGACAATAAAACTTAGAAACTTTGAGCTCTTGAGTCAAAGCAATGGTAAATAACAACAAGTTCTCAGATGTCATAACAGTTATTGTTGGGAGTAGGGTGAAATTGGAGATGAAGAGCATTGGAGTTAAGGAGGCCGATGAATGGTGAAACCAAACCCTGGCAGGAACATCCTTATGGATGCTGAAGTCATGTGACTCTGAGTCTCATGAAAGGCCAGCTCAGTAGCTCAGATTAACAAGTATGGGTCATAGAGCCGGGGATTTAGCTCAGTGGTTCCAGTTGCCTGCCTTGCAAGTGCAAGGTCCCAAGTTTGATCCCTCGTACCAAAAAATAAATACATAAACAAACAAACAAGTATGGGTCGGTAGGGCCAGGGATTTAGCTCAGTGGTTTCACCACCAGATGCGCAAGCCCAAGGACCCGAGTTCGATCCCCGGTACCAAAAAAAAAAAAAAAGTTCCAAACAAGTATGGGTCAGGCCAGGGATGTAGCTCAGTGGCATCATGCCTGCCTGGCAATCGCAAGGTCCTGAGTTCAATTCCCAGTACCGGGGGTGGGGGGGCAACTATGGGAGTGGTGAGGATGGACTTCAAAGGAAGGAGTATCTAGAAGTGGCAGCAGGAGCATGCTGTCTGTCCAAGCCAGAGACAGAGAAAGAAGGGACAGCCACAACTGAAAAGTTAGTGTGATGGCTTCTGCCAGGAGGAGGAGAAACATGGAAAAAGTAAAAAAAGAAAAAAAAAACAGTGAAAAACATAAAAGAATGTGCTCACAGGGCCGGGGATTTAGCTCAGTGGCACTGCGCCTGCCTCGCAAGCGTGAGGTCTTGAGTTGAATCCCCGGTACCAAAACACAAACAAACAAAACAGAATCTACTCACAACAGAACAAATTTTGATTGAGAAAAGGAGTTTTTCATAATAACTCTGTGAGTATGAGTGTGTGCATGCACATGTGTGTGCACGCACATGTGTGTGCACATGCTATGGATCAAACCCAGGGCTTCATGCATGCTAAGCCTATGCCCTACCACTGAGCTGCACACACAGCCGCCTCATAACTCACAATAGCTTTTAAGAAAAACCAGTGCTGAGCCTGGGGATGAGTCTGAATAAAGCTTGAGAGGGGGAAGAACTGGAAAGGATGTTTTAGAGCAGGCTCCTGAGAAAGCTGGTTGAGGGAGGCTGTTCCCTCACTTTGAATGTAAGGTGTGTGACAGGCTGGCTCAGCCCTGTGGCCAGGTGCTGGGCATGCCCCAGCTGGACACGAGGTCCCTAAAGACCCCACCCATTCCCTTTCTGGGGAACACAGGTCAGAACCACTCAGCCACTGACAGCAAGAGAGACTGGGAGAGATGAGATGGGATCAGGGGCTTCTCTTTTAGAGAATGGAGAGCAGACCAGCAAATGGCTTTAAAGGAGAGGAAACAGGACACCAGCCAGCTTTGCGACTGCCTTCTCTTCCAAGAGCACTGCTCAGTAATGTAATTGTATTCAGACATTTTTTTTGCATGATGTCAGGGAATAGGCGCCCTTAAAAGCTTTCGTGAAAAAGCACAACCATAAAACAGACTCAGGCAATGAAATGGAAACCATGCTGGCCGCCCACACCCTAACCCTCTTGTCCTGTGTGAGCCCAGGCCCTGGCAGACAGGAGAAGGGTAGCCCCTCCTTCCTCTTTTTCTTCCTTTTTGCAGTGGTAGGGATTGAACCCAGGGCCTCACACATGCTAAGTAAGTACCCTACCACAGAGCTCACCTTCAGCCATATTTTTCTTATCCATTCACCCAGTGATGGATGGACATTGGAGTTGTTTCCACCTTTGGCTGTTGTAAAGAGTGTTGTTATGAACATTCACATATAAGTCTTGCTTTGGGCACCAGTCCTTTTGGGTATGTACTTAGGAGTGGAGTTGTAGGTATTGTGGTAATTCTCTGCTTACCTTAAGAGGAATTTGAGGTCTTTCTTGATGGACATCGTTCCTAGGTTTGCTATGACAAGGAAGAGCAGACATGTATCACCCAAGACACTGAAAGTTTACACCTTGTCCTCATTCTGCTAGATCTGGAAAGAAGCTGAAAGAATAAGGTTGAAGAATTAAGAGTCTTTCTGGAAATGAGTAAGGTCACCAAAGATATGCTGGTAACCTGAGGAAAGACAGTCTAGATGGAGTAGGCAAGAGCTGGGGGACGAAAAAGATTCAGGGCCACTGGAAAAGATCGAACTAAGGCAGGGGAAGAACTTAGCAAGAGAGGCCTCAGTGGCCCAGGATGAAGGAAGATGTAACCCTAGACATCCGTGGCTGGTACAGCCAAATCCACTGATGCGGGAGTGACACCAGAGACCAAGAGGCCAGGGAACCGGGCAGAACTTAGACTTTCACGCTAAGGAGGTCGGACCTTGGGCTTGGTGGAGGCGGGGAGGCCTTTTAAACTGAGGCTGGTCAGGTCAGAGGTTTTCTGGCAAGGCGCCTTACCACAGGGTGGAGGACAGCTGGGAGCCCAGGAGGACAAGCCAGGAAGCCAGGAGGATGGACCAAGGCAGTGTCAGTGGGCATGGAGCAGGGATGTGGGAGGAGGGTACTGTTGCTGCAGACAGAGCCAAGGTGAGGGCAGAGGATAGGATGCCACTAAGAAGCGGTAGACCAGGAAGTGGTGGAGGCAAGGGCTTCAGAGAGCTCCAGAGAGCTCCAGAGAGCCCCAGAGCCCTGCACACACCACCAAGACACAGGCCACGCGCTGGGACAGGCAGGGCCCAAGCTTCCGCCTGGGTGAGGACAATGTGTGGGGCTTCCTTCTTCCCTTCCTCAGGCCACTGACATTTCAGGATGAAGTCAGCATGTTTGACCTGGAGGACATTGTCACTAAGTACAAACCTTTGATCTGAATTATCCAACATCAGTACTTTTCCTCAAGAAACTATTTTCCAGTCTATTTTCCATCAGGCCAGTTTAATTTTGATCAGTTTTCTGTAGAGGGTAATTAAATAATTTCTCATATTCTCCTTTATTTTCTTAGGTAGCAATTCTTTCATGAGTAATTTTTTTTCCACCTCTGGGGATTAAACCTAAGGCTGGGCAAGCACTCTACCCCTGAGCTACATCCCATCCCCAGCTCCATATGTAATTCATTAAGACAAATTTTTTGTTGTTTTGTGGGTTTTTTCTTTTCTTTCTCTTTTTTTCTTTTTTTATGTATTTTAGTCTGGCCTTAAACTCACTAGTATGTGATCCAGGCTGGCCCCAAACTCACAGCAGTGATCCTCCTGCTGAAGTGCAGGGATTACAGGTGTGCACCACCATACCCGGCTAAGTTTTTGTTTTTGTTGGTGAAAATTTTTAGTCAGTGAGTTTTACCATGCCCAGTTTTAGACTCTGTTGGTGTTATTTTTTTTGTTTATTTCCAAGTCACAAATTTCCTTAGGTGTTGTTATTTGAAGTTTTCAGTGTTACTAACAAAATGACCAGTTAGGATGGATTTTATCATGTGCTATTTTTCACTTGTAACATAACTGGCTTCTCCCCAGAGTCCCTCCCCAACCCACCCCAACCCTAGAGCAGGAGCATTTCAGCGCAGTGGACATGCTGGACATGGATCTGCTTGAAAGCTGTCCTGCAGCAGTTGGATCTTTTCTCTGTTTAATTGGCAGGAAACCCGGTGCCTCACTGCTTCCCTCCAGCCTCTCAATCATCACTTCCTCCATAGCGTTTTTTTGTTTGATTGATCCGGTCTGCTTTGGTCTGGTTCAGTTATTTGAGACAGGGTCTCACTATGTAGCTCAGGCTGGCCTTGAACTCACTATATAACCCAGGCTGGCCTCAGACTCACACCAGTCCTCCTGCCTCAGCCTCCCATGTGCTGGGATTACAGGTATGCACCACGACGCGTGGCTGTAACTTAAACTTTTTTTTTTTTTTGGTACCAGGGATCAAACTTGTAACTTGTTCTTGAAAGAGAGGTTTTTGTATTTCGCACCCTTCCCTGCCCTCACCCTAGTCTTCTCTGAACTCAGCCTCCCACTTCCTGGGGAAGTGGTTTCCCAGACCTTTGGGAGGTGGACAGTAACTCCAGGGAGGCTCTGGGGACTGCTGATCACAGGGGACACATAGAAGGGCCTTCAGAGGCCTGGGAGTCAACTCAGTTTCAAGACAGTTTCTGGAGTTGGAAGTGTAACATGGGGAGGCCCAAGGTCCCATCCCCAAAAAAGGAAAAAAAGAAAATTACCAGAAAACTTGAAATTGGAGGCACTTAACATTTTGAGCACTACTAATAGACTTTAAAATCAGTTTTTGAGTTTAAAATAGATAACATAACGATGTTTCAGTCAATGACAGACCACAGATCATATGACCTAGTGACGTCATAGCCATCTTAGTTTGTGTAAGGCCACTGATCTTCGCACAGTGAAATAACCCAACCAAAATGATCCCTATCATTATGACACATGATTACCTTGACTTCCTCTTCTTTGACCATGTAGTGTGTTTATTCTACACTACACAGCCTGCGGGTAAGCTGGGGAGTACCTATAAGGAAACTGTCTAGATTCTGTATTACATTAGGACATGATAATATTGAAGTCCTCAGGAGAAGAAAAATTATCTTCCTGAACTTTTCTGACTTAAATTCCTAGTCCTCAGTTACACTTCAGGACCATCTACACCCTCTGACCTCCGTACCCCCATCCTCCAGGCCCAGCACCCCTGCTCTTGAGCTCTGTGCTGTGTGCTCAGGCCTGTACTGGGCTGTGGCAGAGCGGCTCATACTCAGGACAGCTTTGTTGGAGTGAATCAAGCATTTGGTTTCTTCCTCTCTCCCTCTCCAGCCTGGAATAAGTTCAGAGGATGGAGAGTAGGAGAGGGGGTCCAGCCAGGTGACCCTGGGGTCAGAGAAACTTCACAAAGAATTCAGAAAAGCCTGTCAGTCTCAAGCTGGTAGGCTAAGAACTTCTCTGTAATAAAAAGGAGTTCCAGTTTGAAATAAATGCAAGAAGACTTAAGTGACTTCAAGGAAAGGGCAGTAGTGATATTTCAAGGTCTGGTCAGAGGAAGACAGAATGCATGTGCAGAGCTGAGGGTCTCTGCCCAGGCTGAGGAGTCTCCTTCCCAAGTCACACGGTGTTAGGCTGGCCTCATTGGCTTAGGGCGAGAGTAAGATCGCGTCTACCAAGAGGAGTGCCTTGGGGTGAACACTGTGTGGAAATGAGAACACAAACTGCTTACATCCCAAGAGCTGCCAGAGTGGAACCCTTGGGAGGCTCAGCAGGGTAAGTTGCCAAGGAGCAGGCTCTGGAGAGGCGGGCAGGGCTCCTGCAGGGGCTGACTTTGCACCTTGTCCAGGAAAGCCTGACACAGCTCAGGCCACGGGAATCTGCCAAACTTAGGAACTCCAAGTGTAGGTCCAGATGCTCTGGACTGGGCTCATTCCTCACCAGAGCCCCATGACAGCCGTGTCACCCTTCAGTGGCCCAGCCAGATAAAGCCCATGTGTGCGCTCAGGAGGCGGTCACAAGAAACAGCACAGGGTGCTGCACCCCAAATCTGGTCCGACAGAAACCCCCCGGAGGGTGCAGAGGCAGCTGGCCACCCTGCCCAGCTCCCAGGCATAAGCGCCTTGGAGAACCAGGACTTTTACACAGCTTTGTTGCTTGAGGCTGATGTTTCTTTGGATCTGCTCCTTATTCATTAGTGTGGCTGGAAATGAAAAAATAGAAGTTTGTATAAGCATTTAGCTGAGTGTACTATTAGCCAGCTGTAATTTAATTTATCAGTCCTTTTTCAGTGAAATACGGCCCTCCTGAATAACAAGGGCACACTTTGAACTCATCTGAAGTACATATTTATTTCCATTCATATTAGCTGTATCCAATTTTAAAATCGGGGAAAAAAAGATGTTTACCTAGTTATTTCAAGTGGGCCCACATTTTAAAAATTAGTTATTAAGCCTTAAAAGATTTTTTTAAAAATAATCTTTAAACTTAAAGCAAAGCATTTGCTGGGGGAATTCTAGCTTCATGACAGCCCACCAAGAAAACTGTGGACATTGGGCAGCCATGTGGGTCATGATACCCCCCCATATCTGTTCGGATCAAGTTCTTTGGGAGCTAGGCCTATGGGAACTTTTGGGAACCCTAGGCCACTTGTTCCATTTGAAAATAGCTTCAAAATGAAGGGGAGGATAAAGCTTTTAATATTTGAAAGGTTTTTTTCCCCAAGTATTTTTTAAATTTCCAGTGATGATGTTTTGTCTCCTCCCTTCAGACTTGGAGACACATCCCCACCTCTGGACAGAGTGGTCTCTGAGGAAAGCTGGTCTGCTCCGTGCCTACTGCCTGCTCTCTGCCTGGAGGGCTGGTAGGGAAGGGTGAAGATGAAGTCACCTCTAGAAAAAGGGAGACACAGTGTGTGAGCTCCTTAGCATCTGCCCCTTGTGGACTCCCAGCCTCTTGGTCCGGACAGCACTGAGAGTTTTGTCCATCTACCTGCTAGACTGCTCCCTGGACGATACTTGAAGGAAGGGGCTGTTCATAGGTGTGCAAGATCATGGTAGGGCTCAGGCAGGGTTTCTCACCTGTGGCCCTGCTGACACTAGCACTGAGGGCCATCCTGTTCATCGCCGGACGTTGAGCAGCATCCTTAGCCTCTGCCTACATACGCCAATAGCACAACCTCCTCCTCTTTGTGGCAAAAAATGTCTCCAGTTATTGACAGAAGTTCCCTGGGGAGCAACATCATCTCTGCTGTAGGGCCACTACCCACCCCCTCAGTGTCCCTTGCTCAGGAGGTGACTCCAGTTGAAAGCCTGGTGCCAAAGAAAGCTAGGAATACTGGCACAGAGGTCAGCATCCTGAGGTGCTGAGCAGGGTGCAGAGGGCAGAGAACAGTCTGAGGCAAAGGGAAAACACAGTAGTCATCCATCCATCCACCCACCCAGAACTTAGCAAAGTGATCGAGAAGATAGACTCTGGAGGCGGACCAACCTCACTTTGTATCTGGCCCTGCCAGTTACAGTCACCTGTACGATCCTGCATGAGTTACTTCTCTAAACTTTAACAACCCTGAATGTGAAATGATTCTCTGAAATGTGATCTGATTCTCGCCATCTAGATGTTTTCCCATTAGAGAAACACTTGACACAAGTGAACTGCTCCATACCGTTCTGTAGTAAGCAGCTGGTATCTTCTGGGGACCCTTGCTACTGCCATGGACAATCCTGGGAAAGGACAGCCATGGGGTCTGGCCACAGAGTGACCTCCTTCACCATCCTCAAACCCCTGGAGCACTGTGCAGAGAAGGCCGAGAAAGATCAGCAAGGCCTGGAGAAATCCCAGCCATGGCCCTGAGCCAGATGCTGAGGGACAGATAGGCCTAAGTTAAGAGGAGGAAGAAAGGACTGGGATGTAGTTGATTGGCAGAGCACTTGCCTCATATACACAAGGACCTGGGTTCAATCCCAGTGCCCACCCCCAAAAAGGAGGAAAAAGCTATACCAGATGGGAAGGGGCTGAGTAAACCAGAGCCAGGAGAGCTGGAGGGAGATGGTGGAGGGCCTCAGGGTCAGGGTACAGAGCTGGTGCACGGCCTGTTGCCCTCCTTAGTACTCAGTGTCTGAAGGGCCAGGCAAAGGAGCACACCTGTGAATGGTGAGGTGGCCCTGGCCCCAGGGTGTCCCAGACTGGATGCACATCTGCCTTCAGTGGGAGACAGCCACTGCTCTGCCCCAGTCAGACCCAGAGGCACCGGACTGCATTTCTCTGGATTTTCAAAAGATGCTATAAATGTGGATTTTTATAAGAAATTTCCTCGCCTGTTGAGGTGGCCACTCATAATCAACTTGGGAGGCTGAGGCAGGAGGATCCAAAGTTCAAGAACAGCCTGGCCAACTTAGCAAGACTCTGTCTCAAAATTATAAAAAAATATGGGCCAGGGATTTAGCTCAGTGGCACTGCGCCTGCCTCACGAGCACAAGGTCCTGAGTTTAATCCCCAGGACCAAAAAAAAACTTTAAAAAAATGTAAAAAGGGCTGGGGTTGTAGCTCAGTGGTGGAGTACCCCTGGGTTTGATCCCTAGTACCACGGTAAATAAATAAATAAATATTTACTAATTTTGGAAAAACCATGTGAGCTATACCAAAGTGTGAAGATCAAACAGTGCCTTTGACCCTCTCAAGAGGCTTCTGATGACTTCCTTAGGGCCTTAGCCCCTGAGCTATGTATGTTTGGTTGGATGCTTTTCCATGTATCCTTTATTTTTGTTTAAATTTTGATTAGCATAGCGTTGGGGTTTTTAAAAATTTTTTAGTATATATTTGCAGTGAATATATTCACTGTGGGGTTTTGATACTATACAATTAGTATCTGAGAGGAAGAGAAAGTAAAAATGTGTCCTTTATTTTTAGTAGTAGGTTTGAAAAACAAAAGGGAGGAACAGAAGGGTCCACATGGGCCAGGTGAAATCTGAGTTCCCCTGGAGACCTAATTCCATGGCTAGCTTTGGGGTGGGGAAAGGCTGGCTTTGGGCCAGGGCCACTGACGGGGAAGGGGGGGTTGTAGTAAGATCGTAGGCAGAAGTCCCAGGGCAGCAGACACCCCCAGCCCCCCAGCACATGCTGGGGCTAGGTCTGCCCTTGGGCGGTGTGACCAGCACGTTTGGTTCTTTGATGAAATTTTCTAAATATTCAGATAAAGAACAGAGACAAATACCGCAAACACCCACGTTCCACCACCCAACTGCTGGGTCCTGCTGGGTTCTTGGAAGCCAGGATACCCACCACCACCACTGTTCCTAGGACGCCGACCTTCTGAACCATTTGTCTCCAGTAGGGGTCATCAGGGTGCTGTTTGGTGGTAACAGTTAAACCAGTGGTGTCTGATCATAGGGCTGTGAAGTGTGCTCACTGTGGCCTGCTGGGAAAGCCACTCCAAGCCCTGGACTCCAGGGTAGAGGGCAAGGGCGGGTGGGGGCAAGAGGCTTCCAGCAGCCATGGAAGAGCTAAATGACAGAGCAGTGGATGGATGAGCCAAGCTTCACCCCATACTCATTTCTCATGACTTACTAAGACACCGGCTGCAGGGCAGGGGACATAGCTCCATGGTAGAGCATGTGCCTGGCATCAGCAAGGCCCTGGGTCAGACCCCAGCACCAAACAAATAAAATACAGGCACTTGCCTTGCTGGGAGGAAGTGAAGTCCATGGAGGAGATCAGAAATAATAAGATGGTCTGGAAACAGCCTAACAGGAACCTGAAAATGCTTCACTTAGGGAAAATACAAAGGCCCGCTACTACACAGATTCCATCAGACTGTACCTCTGCATGGGTAGGCCACCCTGCCATCTGCCCTCCCACCGCCCCCAGATCCTCCTCTTCACTGGGAGGTCCAGCCTCCTTGCTGCTCAAACTCTGGTCCTGGCTGTGCAGGGCTTCTCATCCCTTGGCCAGACAAGCTCCCTCTCCATGAAGCTCTTCTTCTCACCAGCCCCATTTTTTTTTTCCTTTTCTGTGATTTCATTCTTTTCTTTTTTTGGTACCAGGGATTGAACTCGGGACCTTGTGCTTGCGTGGCAGGTGGCAGAACCACTGAGCTAAATCCCTAGCCCTTGTGCTTTCATTCTTACTACTAATGGTACCATTGGTCTCTGTCATCCACCATCTTGGACTGTTTCCTGACACTTCCTAGGTGTTGGCTTGACCCTGACTCAACTATTGCTCTGTGAGATGGGACTGGGATTTTCCTCATGTTTCTCATAGCCCCCTCCCCCAGCAGGTGCTGGGTGAATACTTGTGAGTGGGAAAAGCTTGGAGGGATGGAATGGGTGTTGAGTGGGTGGAGAGTTGGCTACCTGGCAGGGCCACCCAATGCCCTGCATAGCCCCCTAAAGCCAAGGGATGTTCCACCAGTGCCTGAAACAAGGTTCTCTGGAGCTAGAAGCAGGGAGTGACTTGACCGCTCGGGAAAGACTGGGAAGGAGACTCAACCAATGCTCTTCACCTGGAAGGCATCTCCCCCGTGATTCTTTAGAATCAGAGTGTGGGCTATTAATCCACCATCCAGAATAGTTTTCAGACATGGAAAAAAGTGGGAATATGTGGACATACATTTTATTTACCCACTCAGCAGCTGATGGACAATATGGAAACAATCCACATTGGCACTTTTATTTTAATCAGTGCAGTTCAAATTGACCTCAAAGTATATGGCTTGGCTGTCTGCCTGCCTAGAAGTTAATGATCACTTCCTTTGCTGGGGTGGGGCGTGCTGGGACCCGAGCCCAGTGGGCCCCTTCATGGAGGTGGGAAAGAAGCAATACAGGAGTATCGGCTAGGAACCGTTTCTGATAGCCAGGCACCTGCCCTGGCAGGAGAGCCCAGGTGTGGCTGGGCAGTAGTAAGAGGAAGTCCCATTGTGCAGCCCTGAAGCCTCTGGTTCACTTCTGTCCTCTGCAGTCCAAGTGGGTTATCCGTTTACAAGATGGAAGGCATTGGATTAAGCAGTTCTTACTGATTATTTGTTGTGTTCCAGTGTGATTCCAAATGACTTGAATATTCATTCAACACCCCGGGGATGAGTGTACCAGCAGCCCCACCACTCAAAGCACTCTGGGAGGTCGAAGCGTTATTCTTCTTGCCATTAACTGTGTCACGGGTGGGAGGAGAAGTCTCTGCTATAATTTATTCCCCACATTGATAATTTATTCCCTCAACTCTTAAGATCTGAATACCTGATGTCCTTCTCTCTTGTCTGGGTGATAGTCTTACCTTCCTACCTGGACTGCCAGCCTCCTTATCTCTTTTTATGGCTAAATACTTTTCCACCATATAGACATACCACACTGTTTTATCCATTCATCAGTTAATGGACATTTTGGTTGTTTCCACATTTGGGCTATTAAGAGCAAAGCTCTTTGAATGTTCATATCCAAGTTTTTGTGTGGATATATATTCTTATCTCTCTTGGGTATAGCTGGAATTGTTGGGTCATCTGGCTTAATATTTTGAGACTGTTTTCCAAAGCAGCTGCATCATTGACATTCCTGCCAGAAAACTGTGAGGGCTCCACTTTCTCCACACCTTGGTCAAGCTTCACTTTTTTTTTTATGACAGTCACCCTAGTGGGTCTGAAGTGACATGTCTTTGGTTTAAATTCCCATTTTCTGATGGCTAATGATGCTAAGTATCTTTTGTTTGTTGGTCATTTATATATCTTTTCTAGAGAAGTGTCTAGTCATATCCTATGTACATTTTTATTGGGCTTGTTTGTTATTAAGAGTCCTTTGTATATTCTAGAGAGGTTTCTTATCAAATAGAAGATTTGCAAATATTCTCTCCTCTTCTGTGAGTTATCCTGGTACTCTGATGCTATTCTCTGGAGAACAAAGCTGGGCGTGGTGGCACACACTTGTAATCCCAGCACTTGGGAGGCTGAGGCAGGAGGACTCCTGTGAGGTTGAGGTCAACCCGGGCTACACAGTGAGTTCAAGGCCAACCTGAACTACCTGGCGAGACCCTGTCTGAAAAAAAAAAGACTTATTCTCTGAAGCACAAACATTTCCAGTTGTGATGAAGTCCAAATTTTTCTTTTGTTGCTTGTGCTCTTAGCTTCACATCTAAGAAACTGTTGCCCAATCCAGGTTCATCCAGGTTTGGTCCTGTTTTTCTCTATAAGTGTAACAGTTTTAAACCTTACTTTTAGGTGTTTGATACATTTTGAGTTAATTCTTGTGTATGGTGTTAGGTAGGAATCCAGCTTCATTATTTGTACATCTATCCAGTTGTCCCAATAACACTGGTTCAAAAGATACCCTCCCATTATTTTGTCAAAACTCAGCTGAGGGCTAGGAATGTAGCTTAGAGCCCTTGCTAAGTGGGAGGCTCTAGGTTCAGTTCCCAGCACTGATCTGTAGGCCCGTCCTCCCTCTCCTGGCTGGTCTGCATCAGTCCTCAGGCTGCAACACTGTCGGGCTGGGGTGTAGCTTTTCAGTAGTGTGTGCACAGAATGCAGGAGCACTATAAAATACACACACAAAAGGGCTGGGAATTTAGCTCTGGTTCCACCGCCTGCCTCCCAAGTGAAAGGTCCTGAGTGTGATCCCTGATACCAACACACACACACACACACACACACACACACACACACACACACACAGCTTTGCGGTAAGTTTTGAAATCAGGAAATGAGTCTCCAAATTTGTTTTGTGTTGTTTTCTTTAAGATTGTGGTGGCTATTCTGGATACACAGGATATTCTTAAACATGCCTGTTGTTTGGCCAATTGCTCTTGTGTTTCCTGGGTAGCCTGGCTAGTCCACATGCATCAGTGAAAAATCCCTCTCCCTGCTGCCCAGCCTCCCTGCACAGGCCCTGGTGGCAGGGATCAGAGATCAAGGTGTCCTGGCTGAGCTGCCTCTGCTCAGGGCGAGGGAGTGAACGGGGAATATGTGGGCTGCAGTGGCCCTGTGAGCAGAGATCTGAACCCCACCAATCTCCCAGCCACCTTCCCTGTTCCCTCGAATCTTGTGGCGCTGATGCTTCCACTTCTCTCCAGATGGACCTCAGCTGCATCATCCCAGCACACTCCAGCCCCTTCTGACTCAGAAGTGGAGGCAACATAGTGCAAGGAGAGGCTGTCCTGTCGAGTGGGGTCAGTGTGGCAGCCTGGCTTTCCTGGTGGCATCCCAGCCACCCCTGTGTTCTCTGTGGACTCGGCTGGAGAGCTGCTTAAGCTACATCACTGATTTTGCTGGTGGGTGAAGCATTTTCCTTCCCAAGGAGCTTCAGTCCTGCCTTACAAGGACTAAAAAAGGGGCCAGGAATGTAGTTCAATGGTAGAGCTCTTTCCTAAGAAGCACAATGTCTTGGGTTTGATCCTCAGTACCAACACACACACACAC